AATTGGTGATTGAAAAATTGTTCCAAACTGGTCAAATTTTGTCTATTTCCGGCTCTTGAATTTGTCTAAATGAAGATAATTCAAGAGACCTGAATGTCCTCTTATCTACATTTCTTCTCTATTACATTTAAATCTTAGTTTTTCCATCTCAATTTTTGTCTATAGGTACCTGGCTCTTGAATTTTCGTTTTTTTCTAAATTTCTCTAAATATAGAGAAAATCCCAGAGCTTGGAATAAAAACAAAATATTTGTGTACCAATTTTTTTACCAATTCCTCTTGAATTTCTTTTCTCTATCAATTTTTCCAGATCAATTATTATCTATCACAGGTTAAGCCTATCTCTTTACTACCACACTTGCAGGAGCAACAAGGCCACTTTATTTTTGCTACAAATACAGGAGGATCAATACAGTGTTGTTGAAAATAGGTGTAGAAAAAGGATCTTAACAAATGGCTCTTGGTACTTCTGCTTGTAGGCGGCAAATCTTGAATATCTATATTCTTTGCATGATGATACATCCACAATCTAAGTTTTACAGATTTACAAGACGACCATTTCCGTAGTAACTGCACCAAGTATGTTTCTCCAGATATAAAGCTTTGTTCTATGTGAGCCCAATCAGATAATACGTCAAAGTGTTCCAGATATGCCGAGGATGCAGTATGAAGGGTTGCTTTTTTGGTTCCAAACTTAGGTACTCGTTTAATCTGACCCAGATAGTGCGTGGATGGCTGGAAGCAAGGAGCGTAAGTTTTGGTCAATTTTTTGATGAATATTATGAACAGGTAAAAGTCGCGTAGAATTACCAACTCCAGTGCGCAAGCACCCAAAGTTCCTGAACACCAAGTTGATGAAGAGTAGCTCAGTGAAGCAAAGCTAACATCATTATGTCAGTGTCAGCACTAACGAGAACGATTTTGGTAAATCTACACAAGGATACATGTTTTGAATGAATCACCATTCTAAAGTCTGCCTCCTCTACTGACAAGCAATTTAATTGTGGGTGGTTTGCTTTCATTCCACTTTGCACAGATGTACAGCTGAATGATACCTCATCTTCTTCATCACCATAAAAGGCACTAAAGATGTGGTTGGTACAACTTGGTGTTCAAAGAAGCTATTAAGGTATTAGCAATGAACATCTGCAAGTTCAAATGCTGGTAGCATGACTTTGTGTATGGTAGTTAAGATCCTGATTGTTTCGTCTTCGTATCGTGTTTTGCGCAGTGCAAAATAGAATTTGTCACCGATTCCAAATTTTTTTAATAATTTTTCCTTTGTATCTTGTGTAACCAGTGCTTTTGTTTCGAAATTGGGTAATGGATTAGATAGCATATCAAATAAGTTTTTTCTGCAATATATTTAAACATTGAGGTCACCTTTGAATCTATGCTCTGTGTTTGCTTTCTAGAAAACTCATGGTGGATGCCTTCGACAAAAGCAATAGAGTCTGTTATTTCTCGAAATAAATTCAATATCATCATCATCAGTGGCGGATTTAGAGGGGGGGCGCGGGGGGCGCGCGCCCCCCCCTATTGAGCGAAATTTTTAACGAAAACACAAACATATTCATCAAGCATTATCCAACATGAAATTCCATATGGTTTTTGCTATTTTTCCAAATTTTTAATACTTTTAAATACGTTTGGCAGCAGCGAGCTGGGAGCGAATCGACTGCGGATGACGTAAATCCGCACCAACTTTGAATTTAATCTATAATTGAAAATTCCAATTAAATTTAATCTCCGATTAAATTAAATGTTGATGTCAAATGATAGTTTATGAAAATCTAAGACAGGAATGTGAAATCGGTTTTCCTCTGAAATTAACCGTTCAGGTTTTACAGCCTGTCAAAGTTGCAAAAAGTCAATGTTCAACTGTCAATATTTCCAAAACAGTTGAACTTAGGTATAGGGAATATCACATGAAATCTGCTCAGAATTTTACGTAGAATCCAAATATGCAATCACATACAGGGTGTTTTATTTGAAAAAAAGAAAGTTGGTCTAGATAGCAAACAAACCAGAAGTGACACAGGCAATACGTTTAAGTAGAATTGTGGGAAATATTAGGGACATAAAGCTACTTGAAATAATTCATCGGTATCGGTATCCGTAACGCAACTAGATACGTTGACAAGCGAAAAGGCTGTTAAAGCGCTCCCTGTTCCGGTAAACGTAAACGCATTTCATAACCTAGACATTTTTGTCTCAAAACTTCGGCGTTTTTATATCTAACCTTAAAATTGTTATTTTTTTTGCGATAGAGAAGCACTAAACATACAAGAAACTCAAGAAAGTATAAACTAAACAAATTAAATCAACCCGGAAGAAAAGGGAGGTTATATTCATTTGAAATTTGACATGCGTCAGGAATGTCAAGATACGTTACCGATACGGATACCGCGAGAGGGCCGTAACGTTACGTTGTACGTACGGTATCTCGGCCTCCGTATCGCTTCTGCACATGCGCAGTACGATACCGATACGGATACCGAGCAAAAAATACGGAAGCTTTATGTCCCTAATTTACTGAGCCTTTCATTAAGGTCACTTTTTCTTATACGAGGTAATTAGAAAGTTACAAGTATTATACGCGACTTTTTTGCCACTCTGTATATTTAAGTCGTTTTTTTATTATTTCTTATCTGAGCCTGAGGCCCTGATGGATCGCCCCCCCCTAGAAGGAATCCTAAATCCGCCGCTGATCATCATCTATTAATGGTTTGTTCTAACGTCATATCCACAGCTGAAATTTCATGGTCATACTGTTTAATAACATGCTTCCCCTTCATAAAGTTCTCATGTCTTTCAAATATGAAGAAGAACATCGCTGATAATTGATACAGTCAAAGACAGCAAATACTGGTTGAAGTTTTTGTACTGTATCTAAGAAGTTAAAGTAGTTTCAGAAAATTGTCCCAGTATAAAAATTGCTCTAATGTTTGCCTTCCACATTCAATAAGTTTCTCAAAGTCTGTGAGGAGTTTTTCTGCATTATCATCTACATCTATATGGTTTGCTTTTTTCTTCCATGCCATTAAAATACTTTGCTGGATGTGAAGTAACTTTTCAAATTCAGGTGAAGACTCAATGGAATGTTCTTTCAAAAATGACTTTACCTGCAACCTCAACATAAGCATTTCTTCTACTTCCCTCACAAAATAAAACCGACTCTACCACATTTACTCGGAACACTGAGCATTCAATAAGGACATTGGATATTCCACTTCCACGAAAATATTTACCTTAGCAACCCAGTACAATTTTAGCCATATGGAATTGGAATGCTCCCAACAACAGTACAATATTTGAAAACTTATCTGTGTTTAGCTGAACTTCGCGTGCAATAGCGTATACACACCTTCGTCATTGGCTACTGGTAGGTAGTTTTGGTCCAGTTGATTGAGGATACTATTAAAATTCAATAAAGCTGTGTAGACAGTCGCATGCTGAGTAACTGGGTTTGGAATGACTGGTAAAAAGCCAACTTGCGTCTGCTGTAGATCTTCTTACGAACAAAGTGATTTGAAAGCACTCCAGCTGTTCTAGGTCTTCTTTTGGAGTGCGGGAAGGACGTATTCTGTAGAAACCTCAAAACTGTGTAACAAAGTTTGTGCAATTGTTGAAAAATGTCATAACATGTCTAAATTTTCGTATTTCTTCTTTTCATCCTCGTCCATTGAAAATAAATCTTGAGTCGACTACGTAATTGCTTGGAAGATGCGGACGTTTCGCTGGTTTTAAAAAGGATTGTACCTTTTGGCGCAGAAGAAGCTCTTGAATTGCCTTCAAACCTCGTGTGACACCAATCTCCGATATTCAGTGGTTTGTCTTAGAAGAGTACACACACGGTGTCATGAGAGCCTCCTATTCCAGATAAGGTATATCCTTCATGGCCAAAGTTATCGAAGGCTCCAATCGTAGATGAATCAGTCTTGAAATGACTGGGAATCGGCACTTCATGAAGAGCCTGCTTACACCTACATGATTCAAGCTTGTTATCAATGTTTCGCTTTTACAGTTTTCATGTATACTGCTTCTCCTATCATCATTATTTCCTCGATATATGTTATAGTATATTATTTTTAATAACGATTGTGCCTTAAGACGCTACTTCTGTGAATTCTTCGTATTGTTCAAATGTTCATCTTCTTGTATTTCATTGATATCTTCCTCCTCCTGGAGTTTGGATCTATATGGAAAATGTACCTACTGAAAAATTGTATGAAAACATGAGGTAATTTACTTTTACTCCAAGAGCTAAGAAGATTTGGAGCATTACCAACCACTTCTGCAGTGATTCTTTCAACAAAAAGGCACATTATGTTACAGGATTGTAACTTTTCACAACATCTGCTACGTCTTCCGTTCTGAGTGCTGCTGAAAAAAACATGAGTGGTTTGTTTACCTCTTTAGAGGCGATTTTCAGCCTGGAATGATTATTTATCGGTAAATACCGTGGTTATTCTTTTGGTTGACAACTTTGACAGCCAGGTGTGACGTCACAGCCCCCCACCACTCAAGAATCATAACCCAAGGAACTGACCGCTGAAATGATTTGGTTATAGCAGTGTAGGATTATGTTTATGATTCCTATTTGTTTTTTCGTTTCAACAATGGTTTGTTGTTTAGGTACAAAAAATGGAGCGGAATCTCTCGTTAGTCCCGTTTATCGAACAGATTTTCTTTGGGGATGATCTAAACCTCGATCTAAACATGGTGAGTTGCAGTGAGTGAGTGAGTGTATACTTCTTCCATTGTGCTAGGCCACAACACAACTGCAAAATCACAAAACACCAATACCAATTCCCAAAATAATAACAATAACATCAAAAAGCTGTAACCAAAAGATTAACCCAAGTCCAAAGCTGGGTTATAATCGGTTATAAGTGGTAAATACCAAAAGCAAATCAGCTGGATATGTGACATCACAACTTCCCCTACTTTGGTTAAAACCGCGACGGCGGAAATGCATTGGTTATAACCAAATAATAATCATTCCAGGCTGAAAATCGCCTTAGGTTTTGCAAACGTTATTTCATTTCCAAAGTAATCACACAACATTAATCCCAGTTCCTTGTTACTAACTCTCATGGCTTCGTTTCCTGAATTAAATTTTTCTGGAATGTAACTGAGAGTATATCCGTAACCTTCATCTATTCCAGCTTTAATATCATTAGCTATACGAGAAAACGCTGCGACCCTTCCAGAAGCTTGAGGTGTGCTCTTGTTACCTTCCTCAGGTTTCCGTTTATACCTCAGTAAATAACCAGAAATACAATTGTCATGACAGAATATCTCGGCACCAAAAACCCTTGACTCATCTTCCAAATCACAAGTGCTAGTAAAAACATGATCTTTGAAGTATAAGTGGCTTTTAAAAACTCCTTAGCTCTTGGAGACTCACTGATTTTATACTTTTCGTAAATGCGCTTATGTGATTTCTGATTACATATAATACATGAACGGTCTCGACTCGAAGTACCAGTTCCTCGAGGACTGCGGTGACGAGCATGTTCTCTTCCAGAGTTTTTGTCGATTGGGAAATGCTGTCGTTATCTTCATTTTCTAACAGATCCTTTTCTCTTTGATACTTCATAAGGGACTTTTCATGACAGTATTGTTTGTAGCACTCATTATTCATAATATGGTAGTTAAACACTGCTTCCTCATTTAATGAGCTCAATCTCTTGGTAACAATATCATTTCGTACTTTCGCATCTGCCCTGATCGTTTCACGCCAATTTTCCGTACTTATCACACTATTGTCACTCTGATTACAGATTATGCATATTTGGTCACTTGCTTCAAAGTCTATTGAACTATCTTTTCTCGTCAGTTTTATGCCATCCATATCTGCATTTCATATATACCAGGTGGTGGATGTCCACCTAAACTCAAAACACTTCCTAATAACCATTATCGAAAAAAAAATCTCTACGCAAACTTTCCTACAGGAGTGCAGTCAGGTCCAGGACTAGAATCTCTATTTCTCTGTTTTTCCAGATCAATTTTTGTCTATTCTCGGCTCTTGAATTTGTCGAAATCAAGAAAATTCAAGAGCCTGGAATAGAACAAATATTCTTATCTACCAATTTTTTCTCACATTTTTCCTCTATTTTTCAATTTTTATTAATTTGTTCTCGGCTCTTGTTGTAGGTAAAGAAACGAGAGCCTGGGATAGAAAAAATATGAAATTCAAATATGGTGAAACTCCTCATTCTGCCGAAAACTTTTGAGCGATATCCAAAAAGAATTCAGATTATTCCAAATTTTTCGGAATGATGGAATATACCTACTCAAAATTAACAAGAAAAACGTAGAAATAATTAAGATCCGAACATGTATTCTGCGACTTTTAGAGTTGCCTTCAGATAGTCTTACCTTATTTGAACAATCTTCTAGGAATAGGAAGGCCAATTCATCCTGTTCAAAAAACTGTCTCTCATTTGTAGAGTGAACTGACTGAAGTTTTGTCTTGTTAAAAACCTGAAAGGAGCTTTTTATTCATAAGAAATAAGGACCAATGAATGTTCTATTAAAAATCCAATGCCATATAATATATCATTAGGTTTGAATGAGTAGCTACCTATACCTAGTTTATTGGAGGACGAGCAGACAAGACTGGAAGTCTGATGTAATTCCGAAAAAACATTTTTAAGGCGTACCTATACCTATTGCGTAGGTACACCATTTTTTCGACAACCATTCTGCAAGTACATAGAGACTTTCCGGACGCGTTTCACTTCCCAGCCTAAGCTGGAAAAGACATCCTTTCTCAAATGAAGCGCGTCTGGAAAGTTGGTACTTTCCAAACGGTTGCTGAAAAAAAACATACCTACCTACCTTAAATTCATTCTAAAAATAAAATTACCTCGCTCAGGCTATGTTGGCAATGAATTACAGAATTACCTTCACCCAAAATCTTCTATTACAAAATCTTGAATTTGTAATTTACATTTTAACAAAAATAGATAATTGCAATTGCTTGGCTTGAATTTTAATATGCTTAAGGCCCGGTTTATTCAACAATCTGACGGATAAAACCCAATCATTTGTCGGCCAATTACTCGTCGACCAATAAGATTATAGAATGGTAAATTTATCTTATAGACAGTTGAAGATGAATAAACCAGGCCTTTAGGTAAGTAGGTTCATAATTCAGAAGTGAGTTGTAGGACCATATCATTCAAAAATTTCAAAATTGATTGATTAATTATTGCATTTGGGCTGCGTCAATGAATAGAAATATAGGAACCCAAGACCGCTAGCTGAGATTTTTTTTTTTGGGTAGGTACCCCCTGACGATGGTACCGTTAAAAACGACCCTTTAGGGTGGTGACTTTCGCAAAATCGGATCGAATATCAAATCAGATAGGTACTAGAAATGGGATATGTCTCCTATACAAAGAATTTCTACCTAAAAATTGCCAATAAAATGATGGGACTTTAGGTATTTTGAAACTGTTAATTTTTTTTTAAAGGCAATTTTTCTGAGGGATTATTAACATTTCTAAATCAATTTAATCAATTAATTAATCCTTACCTGATTGAGCTCTTAAGTAAAATCGTTCATAAATTTACTTTTAAAAAGAATTAACTGGTTTTAGATTTTATTTACGAATAACTGGTGGCGCCATCTCTGTGTGTTCTATTCAAGTCTGTTCACACACAAGATTTTACATTTTTACGATTCCAGCCTATGCAAACAAAAAGTATCGGTAAAACAGAAATCTGTAAATTTAACATCTGTCATCTGTGACTATTTTGATTTGACAGTTCTTTCAATCTGTCGAATTCCTTCGCGAAGGTTTGTGTTTTTGTAAATACCAATTTTATTTTTTAAAAATCCATAAACATCCAATTAATCAATGAAAATTTGGCCAATTTTGATAAATACATTCATAAAGCTTCCGCCCTGTCACACATTCCCTCATATATTTCCAACCCCCGTTATTTAATAACCCCTAAAAAAAATCAACAAAGTTTTTGAGGTTACGTCTTCTTGTTTTACAGCCTTAGGTAAATTACGATATGGCCAAGCAAAAGGGCGAGAAAAAGGGCAAGTCGGCCATCAACGAGGTGGTGACCAGAGAGTACACGGTCAACTTGCACAAGAGGCTGCACGGAATCGGTTTCAAGAAACGAGCCCCCCGAGCTATTAAGGCCATCCGCCAGTTCGCCGTCAAACAAATGGGTACCCCAGACGTGAGGATCGATACCAGGCTTAACAAGCAATTGTGGTCTAAAGGAATCAGGTAAATGAGGATTTTTGGACTTATTATAGAATACCAAATTGTTGAGTGATTAGTCTAGGATTGGTTTATCAGTAGTAGTTAAGAGCAAAATTATGGACCAGCTGGTAACATCTTTGGTAAATTTATCCTGCTGTATTGTATTCAATTTTAAGTTTTACCATCAAGATAAATTTGCCAATAAAGTTACTAGTAGGTCCATAATTTGGCCCTTAGCTTTCAGTTAACAAACTAGTATTTAATCGTTAGCTAAACTAGATAACTGTCCACTGATAAACCGGTCCTTAGTGTTCTCTGACTCCAATTATACTTTTTTTTTTGTTAATTTTTAAATTATTTCCGGCTCTTGAATTTGTGTTTTCCTTCTCTAATACTTATAAATTTCTTTATTCAAGACCATAATACAATAATTCAATAGAGTACATGAAATGAAACATAGTCAAAAGATCACAATGTTACAAAATTATCATAGATCTGGGCAAAAATCTCTTAAACAATATGGTTCTAAGTTTACTAACAATTTCGTAATATGTATTAAGACTTTGTATTTGGTTAGGGAGCAGGGAGCGTATTGAATAATTTGTCACACATACAAGGTGAGTTACTAAGCGCGTGATGGTCCATATCTCTCATACTAATGAGAATTATTTTCCAGTTTACAGGGTGGCCCAATAACTATAAGTGACACAAAGTTATGTTTTTTTAAATGACTCCCCCTGTATATTATGCAATTTCTGGATTCTGCGGAAAATTCTAGACATATTTCATGTATAATGTCATATATCTATCTTCAACTGTTTCGGAAATATTGACAGTTAAAAATTGACTTTTTTGCATCTTTGACAGACTGTGAAACCTAAACGGTAGAGTAGTAACAAAATTCCTAGATCATATTCATTGTATGTAGGTATTTACCATTGAGGTAGGTAAGTGCGTACCTACAAGCTACACATACATACAGGTGAGATTTTCGTTTTTGGGACCCAATGAAGTTATATCTATCAACACAATCTTTACATTCCCAGCTTAGAATGCTATTATTTGCTTCATCTACTATGACTCTTATTTGCTCTTATGTACTTTGTGTTATGTGGTTATTCTACAGTTCTACACTGAACAGTAGGTACAATTATGTTTGCTTTCTCTCTTCAGTTCTACATAACTAACAGCATTGACCATATTATTCTGTTTTTGCTTATCTAAAAACAAACAAAAAACCCATTTGTAGTAGGTACCTAACCTAATTTGGACAATAGATGAGTTAATGCTTGTTTGTTGCTTATTATAACGATGTTCAGATAAATCTACAACTTTTATTCAGGCCTTTGATGTATCCTCTCCTGTTATTTTAACAGCCATGTTACAGCTCAACATCTATACTTCTCTCTATTTTGACGTATAGAATAAACAGTGATAGACGACTTAACGTTGCTGTTGAAATAACAGGAAATGATACATCATAGGCCTCATTATTATCTCTAAAAGGCAGTTTTGGTAAAAAATAACGCAAAATAAATCTCACTTTTTCAAATTAACATTTCTTATTTCAGTACTGAAGTAGATTGCATCCATGATCACTTAGGGTAAACGTGCAAAATCGGCTTTCTCGAATCCCTGTTCCATATCTTTCAATTTGAACCTTGATTTTATCTTTATCATAACAAACCGAAGAGTACAATAAACAGCACAAAAAAAGTACCCTTTTTCGAGGCCCTTTCAGTACCAGATTTTGGGAAATTAAAGGTAAAATCTGCACAGGTACACAAAAGCTGTGCGAAAGGTAAAGGTGTAGGTTGTAGGTTAGAATTCATTACAAAGCACACAAGTCATGTCTTTGTCTAATAAAGCATGAAAGATAAAGCTAAAAAATAATCGCTGGAATAGGGATCGATAAACCGCATTTATGTCAATATTTTTTTCCTTTTCTATCCTCTTCATTCAACCAGAAAGAAGAAAATTCGATAGGGAACAGCTTAGGCCGGTAAATCGGGCAACTAAGCGCATTCTGATTGGTGCAAAATCTGGCGGACTATTTCAAATATTGCCATATTTTGCCCTTGAATATCTCCCTCAATATTTTTTTTAAAATCAACCACATAATCCTTCAAGTATTTTATCAGATAAGCTTCCAAACCATATGGATGAAATACTCAAATTCAGTTGAGTGGGAATGACCCATTGTTAAAATTATATTCACTTAATAATCTTATGTTAGGAGGAATCAGATTATAACACTATTAACACTTAGGACTTAAAAAATTAAAATAATTCTTAAAAAATTCGCTATATCGGTTTAGTATTCTAATATTTTCATTTAAGACATTTCTAGTAGGTATTATATTGGTGACTTATAGGATTTTTAAGTACATCACGCTTATCCATATACGGGGTGTCCACTTAGTGCGATATCGGACGATATCTCCTTACAGGGTGATACAAGAAAAAAAATATAAATTACAAAGTTATTTGATACTCTTAATATGCATTAGTTGAAAATACTTTTGAATATACAGGGTGCTCGGTTCATGCGGTATGCGACAGAACTTTGTTATTTTAAATAGAACACCCTGTATATGATTGCATATTTGGATTCTACGTAAAATTCTGAGCAGATTTCATGTAATATACCCTATACCTAAGTTCAACTGTTTTGGAAATATTGACAGTTGAAAATTGAGTTTTTGCAACTTTGACAGACTGTAAAACCTAAACGGGTAATTTTAGACGAAAACCGATTTTACATTCCCATCTTAGATTTTTATAAACTATCATTTGACCCCAACTTTCAATTTAATCTTTGATTAAAAATTCCAGTGAAATTTAATCTCCGGTTAAATTAAAAGATGGTGTCAAATGATAGTTTATGAAAATCTAAGATAGGAATGTAAAATCGGTATTCGTCTAAAATTAACTGTTTAGGTTTTACAGCCTGTCGAAGTTGCAAAAAGTCAATTTTCAACTGTCAATATGTCCAAAACAGTTGAACTTAGGTATAGAGTATATTACATGAAATCTGCTCAGAATTTTACGTAGAATCCAAATATGCAATCACATACGGGGTGTTTCATTTGAAATAACAAAGTTCTGTCGCATACCCCATAAACGAAGCACCCTGTATATTCAAAAATATTTTTAACTAATGCATATTACAGTATCAAACAAACTTTGTAATTTAATTTTTTTTTCTTGCACCACCCTGTAAGACGATATCGTCCGATATCGCACTAAGTGGACACCCTGTATATACATGAAGCGTGAATATACAGACACCTAATATTAACACTCTCACTGTTGTAAAGTTGGGAGAGGGAAGCAGTGGATATTTTTGATAAATAACCCTTAAAATCTTATTTTGAACAACATTCAGTGGGTGTAAAGTTCTTCCATACAAACCAAGACCAATAAACCATACCTCAGAATAGATTCAAATAGACTATAGTACAATGTAATAAGTAGGAAAGTAGGTTTATATTAAGAAACTGCCGAGGAAACTGCCGCATTTGATAAAATTTAAAAATCAAGAATCTCAGTTTTCTGTCACATAAGAAACATAAGGTTCCCATTTAAGATTTTCATCCAAATATTTTGTTGAGTTTACTTCCCCTATGTCATAAATAGTTCTTTGAGCTGTGAAACATCGTTTCATCATTCTGGTGTGTGATTATCGTATGAAAAAAAACATTGTTCCATTTTTTCTGCGAAAATATTGTGTAAAATCGAAACCAAACCTCAAAATGTCTGGCACATGCAACAAAAGCAAATTCATCTTTGCCACAACTTACTTTCCACCCAGGTATTCCTATGAAAAATATGCATAATTTGGTGAGAATCTAAAAAGACTATCCAATGAATACCCAGACTGCAGACTGACATCAATCTTTCCCAATTTAATATATCAATCAATTTATGAAAGGTTATCAAGTTTGGATATAAATAAAGGACCTGGTCTAGATGGTCTCCCACCAAACCTTATCAAATATTGTAGGTTCATCTTTTCAAGACCACTTCATATTATCTTCAATCTTTCCCTAAAATCTGGAGATTTTCCAACCTACTGGAAAATAAGCTCATTACCCCTATACTAAAATCAGGTGACAATTCTCAGGTCAATAATTACAGGCCTATCAGTATTTTGAGTTGTATTCCAAAAGTTTTTGAAGGTTTTGTCTGTGACTATTTGTCTGCTGGTCTGAACGATTGCTTCATAAACCAACAATTTGGATTTCTCTTGCTTACATTTACAGATTTTATCTTGAATTTATTGGAAGAAGGGTCCCATGTGCATGCCATATACACAGACCGAGACACAGACTTCACGAAAGTCTTCAACAGAGTAAACGATAAAATCCTAATCAGTAAATTGAGACATATTGGAATTCAGGGAGAGCTTTTAGAATGGTTAACATCCTTACAGATAAAACACAAATTGTACGCATCCACAACTTTCAGTCCACCAAAATTAAAGTTCCATCAGGTGGTCCGCATGGGTCACTTCTTCAAAACCCGAAATCAGAATGACTGTGACGAACTTCAATCTGATTTTGATCGTTTATCTCAGTGGTGCGATCTTAATGGAATGAAACTAAATATTAATAAATGCCAATTAATGATCTTCAGCTGTGGAAGAAATCCCATCCATCAAGATTATAATATAAAAGGCTCGCCCTTCTTGCTGGCTTCTCAAATAAAAGATTTGGGAGTGTTGCTTGACAGCCATCTAACTTACACACAACACTTGTCATCAGCTGTTTCTAAATCACTTCAAGTATTGGGCTTTATCAAAAGCTGTACTTTCTAAATATCCCTTCTCTCAAAATGCTTTTCTGTTCCCTGGTGCGACCACATTTGGATTATTGTTCTTTTGTTATAATGTCCATATATTGGCAATTGAGAGGGTGCAGCATAAGTTTTTGAGGTATATAGCATTCGAGGAACATCATAGAGTTGATTTCATAAATTACCCTGAATTGGAAAACTCCCTTTGAATTACATCTCTTCAGGTTTGTCATATGCACAGACTTTTCTCTATGTTTTATAATTTACTTCACTCAAATTCTCATGGCCCTGAGCTCACAAATAAAATTGGACTTCAGACTAAACCTTTCCTTTCAAATTGATTCCCATCGTACCAACTATGGCTATAACTCGTTCCTGGCCAGATCAGCTAGATAGATAGATAGATAGTGTGCTTTATTGTCATAAAAACATTACAATTTGTTTTGTGGACAAAGCAAAACTTAACAACTAACAAAACTATTTAAAAACCGTCAGAAACAGTAAGAAAATTTAACAGCTCTAATATTTAGCTAAAGCACAGTATATTAAAAAAAAAATAGACTGTGCTTTGCTGACAGTTACAATAAACGGTAAGAATAACCATCTGATCAAATAAAATTACACATTAATATTACCAATAAATTAGTTTTAAATAAGACAAAAAAAAGACAGCATAGTTTACACAAACTTTAAAAGTCGAGTTTAAATCTAAATCAAAATTAATCTTTGGTAAATGTACAAATTAATATAATAAAAAATATAAAAAATAAAAAATATATAGGTACCTAACTTATTGAGTATTTCCTTGCATAAAACTATAAACTCCACGACTGAATAAGTTACTTATTAAATAGAAAGACACTACAATTACATAAAGTTTAAAACTCAGGTTTAAATAAGTACAAATACCGAACAAAATAATAAAATTAAAAAAGAAACCCATTCTATCACAGTTATTCGTTATTCAAAACATACTAAGTTAGAAACATGCTAATCATTGCCTAAAATCTGTCTTGATAATACTCGTTCAAATCATAATAGGCTCTATCAGAAAGTAGGTCCCGTAGTCCTTTTCTAAATAATCTCATTGTTGGTGATATTTTAATTGCTTGTGGTAGATGGTTGAACACCTTTATACCATTATAATGTATTGATTTATGAACAAGCGAAGATTTCGGAATAGGAAGCTGTAGGTTAATTTGCTGGGTAGATCTTGTACTATAGCCATAGCTAGTAGAAGGCCGGACAAAGTCATTGCGATGAGTATAAATGAGACTTGCTGTTTCTAAAATATACAAACAAGTGATGGTTAAGATTTTCTTGGATTTAAACAGAGGTTTGCATGATTCTCTGTAGTTAGCATTACAAAGATATCTCAACGCTCTCTTCTGTAAGATAAACAACATACCAATTAGCTGATCAGTTGTTGAGCCTCAAAAAGCAATGCTATTCCAAAGGTGTGACTCAATTAGTGCATGGTAAACTGATTTTCCGAAGTTAAACCCTAGCTCCCGGACTGTCATCTTCACAGCATAACAGCCAGAAGCTATTTGCTTACTGAGAGAGCAAATATGTTCATCGAACTTTAAATTGGAATCGATTGGTAAACCCAAAAGTTTGCTATACTCCCGCCTGGCTATTAAACCATCTCCAACCCCAATATCATCTATATGACATTTAAAAGAAACCAGGTTAGTTTTATCATAGTTAAACGTCAAGAAACTAGCATCACACCACCTCTTTACCAATTCCAAGTCCCCTGAAATGGCAGCCTTAAGAGTAGCAACGTCACTACAGCTCCACGATATGGTAGTATCGTCAGCAAAAATGGCAAACTTTCCATTAATTGGAAGCATAGCCAAGTCATTGAAGAAAAGCAGAAATAGAACAGGGCCAAACACTGAACCCTGCGGCACGCCCCACTCAACATGGCCCGGTCTGGATGCATCCGATCCTATTAGAACTCGCTGGGTCCTTTCACTCAAATAAGATTCGAACCATTTTAAAACGACACCCCGGAATCCATAATGGTAAAGTTTTTTAAGAAGAATGGAATGATTTACGCAATCAAATGCTTTTGCTAGGTCGCAAAATACCGCCGCAGCTACATTTGATTGGTTGATGGACGAAAATAACCGAGTGAGCAAATGGAACATAGCATTGTTTGTGCCAGTGTTGGCTTGAAATCCAAATTGGGTCTTGCTTAAAATTTTGTTACGCTCCAGAAATGACATGACACGAGTCTTAGTTAACTTTTCAATCAACTTAGATAGAGTGGACAGTAGTGAAATCGGCCTAAAATTTGCTGGGTTGGACTCGTCCCCCCGCCTTATGCAAGGGAATCACCATTGCGGACTTTAGGCTTGTAGGAAATATACCACTTGTCCACGAGATATTTATAGAGTTCACAAGTATGCCAGACAGAATCATATCAGGCATGCTAAGCAAGATGTTCGCAGACAGCCCATCCTCACTGGAGGTATTCTTCTTCTTAATACTTTTCAAGGTTTGTTTTACTTCATGCGAGTTAGTTGGAGTAAATGAAAATGAATTAACCACTGATGTTCGAGGCATATAGGACATCGAATCTTCACTGGGTTTGATATTTTTTGTTAAATTTCTTGCAATACTGCAATAATACTGATTTAAATGATCGGGAGTAACCTCAGGGGACGATGACGGTTTTGAAGAGTTGTTGGAGCGAATATTATTTATGATCTGCCAACATTCTTTTTGTTTATTTGATGAACAATTAAGACGATCGTGGTAGTATTTCTTTTTAGCAGCAGCAATAAGTTTCCGATAAAGAGACCTATATGAATTAAAGAAGTTGTGAAAAAATAAACTGTCAGTGAATTTCCTAATTTTATGAAGACAACAAAGATTTTTTGAGGAAGTTTTGAGGTCCTTAGTAAACCAAGGCTTTTCTTTTTTCATTTTAAGTTTCCTTAAGGGAAAACATTGTTCAAAAATAAACTAGACTAGCAAATAAATTTTCAGACAATTTATACTGTTTTTAGACTCAAAAAATATTTTTTCTACAAACGTGTTAAAAATGCAATTTTTAACACCCACCCGTAGCATTAAAAATGTTACTTTATCGCACTAGTGCCATAAAGTCTTTAAAGCACTAGTGTTAAAAATGAAACATCAAATTTTGAGAGCGAACGTCAAAAAAAGTTTGTATTTTTAGTTATTTATATTGATATTAATGGTGAAATTTGAACAACTGAGGTAGCCCGATTAGCCGCCTCATCTATATTTTCCAAGGGATCGATGCAACCCTCTTTTTCTTCTGTATTTTGTTGCATTTTTAGCAAAAAGCATTACTGACCACGACAGACTTTCAAGAAACTGACAAGACATTTCATTACCTGTAAAACAAGGTGCTGGTTGTTTGAATTTTTTGACAAATGTCAAATTCAATAATTTTATGTAGGAAAGATGCGTTCAATTTATTATTCATCTGGAAATCCGATTTGTTACTGGTTATTGCTTTTTATTGCCGTTTGTAGAAAAAATATTGTATGATATTTGTATTAAAAGTATTTTCAAGGCACTTATGTGAATTGCAGAATTCGCTTCGCTCATTCTGCAAACTTTCACATGCGTGCCTTAAAAATGTACTTTTAACACTTATATCATAAATAACTATAAGAAGGAACTGAGGGGTTGTCTGTGAGCTCCTATATGTAACTGAATTCATTGAAACAGTATTATCTTTCCTTTCTGGTACTACCCTTATTGCCTCTACTTGTATACCTAGTTTTTAGAATTGTTATGTTGCTGTTCATAAGTGTTTACTGTTGGTTGTTCAGCTCTAGGATAAATTGGATTCGTTATACTTAGGTTAGGTCTTGATTAAGTTTTAGTATTGTTATTATTGTTAACTTTCTTTATATTTGGCAGCTGCTGTTGAAAAATAAAATAAATAAATAGAAAAACTGAATTATCCTACAGATTGGGTTAGCAGCCTTATGATAACTGAAGAATTTGTATTGACCCTAAACCTTTGAACAAGTATATAAAGAGAGAGCATTTCATGATCCCAACTACTAGTACAGATATAATATGTTAATTGACAGGTAAAACTATATTCAGTGTTAAAGATATGAAGTGTGGGTTTTGGCAGCTGAAACTGAATCAAAAAAGTTCAGATCTATGTGTTTTCAATACTCTGTTTGGGTGGTACAAATTCAGTCATTTGCCATTTGGTATTTCAAATGCGCCAGAACTCTTCCAGATTAAAAGTTATGAACTCTTTGGACAAATTGAAGATTTAAATATTTATTTTGATGGCCTCAAAGAATGAGCATGAACATGACAGATCTTTACGGATGATTTTTGAAGTTGCTAAAACAAATAATCTTAAATTTAACTCCAGAACCTGACATCGAAGATATAGAAGCAATTAATGCTATCAAAGCCCCTAAAAATAAGCCGGAGGTTTTAAAAATTTTGTATTGTCAAAATCCAATGACATTCCACTAAATCACACTTATGAAAACTGCTGATTTTCTCAATACCATTGATTTTTTTTATTTTTCAGGAATGTCCCATTCCGTGTAAGGGTCCGTTTGGCGCGCAGAAGAAATGACGACGAAGATTCCGTGAACAAACTCTACACCTTGGTCACCTACGTACCAGTAGCTACCTTTAAGGCTCTTCAAACCGAAAATGTTGACGCCAGCCAAGAGTAGATAATAAATTATTTTTTAAGTTTCTGCGTGTTTGATTTGACTTTTTCCTAATGCCTACATAGAAGTATTCTTTCGATCTGAACAAACTAATCGAAGTCACTTCAGGTTTGTTTCAAACAATTGTCATCCGGTGTTATAACGATTTTATTGGCCCCAGCTGTCCTTTTATTTCAAAGAATTTCCCTCATACGAATTTATTTTTGTGGAATTCCACATGCTGAATTGGTAAACACAAGATGAATAAAAAGTCCTCAAATGAAACAATAATGCGTTTATTGTTGTTCAAAAATAGAACAAATTAATAAAATTGCACTAGACTAAAATAAAATACATAAAATTGATATTTTGCTGATATACATTTTATACAATTTTTGTTTCTAGGTAGATCTATACTATAATTTATACATGACGCATAGTTTTTGGAAAACTAATTAGACAATTTGATTTCTTTTTTGTTTGGCAGGGGGGACAGATAATACTGGAAAAAAACAAGTTCAAAAAAAAAGCACCACTACAAAAAAAAAACATTCTTAAAAATTAATTGGAATGAAGGGAATCATAGAAAAATCATAGTTTTTACCCTCACCTACAAAGACAGATGCTAAACTTGTGTGTTTTTTTTTATTACTTAAACTATTAAACATTTAATTATTGTACAAGATTAATTAATAATATCGGAAAGAGAATTATTTTTAAAATTGCTCTTTTACGTCCATTATTATTATTATAGTTTTTTTCAACAAACAACAACAGCTAAACAGTGAGGATATAAGGCTTAACATTATCAAATTTAATCTTCCAAATTCCTAAAGGCCTGTTGGATGTCTTCATATAATTGATCAAAATCGGCTTTGATTTTAGCCTCTCCATCTTTAACAGGGTCTTTGAATTTCATACTGCTAAGCTGGTACAAAATGTTGCTCATAGAGTCCCTAATCACTGACCAAGTGATTTTGTTTTCTGACTGCGCTGTACTTTCAACCGCGTGTCTGGACATGTCATAAAGACCAATCATGTTTTTAAGCATACCAACTGTCTTGTAGAAGGGACAGAATCTGTCGTAGGCCGAATAAGAGTTTTGTTGCAAGAAATCTTCTTTAAGCAATTTGGCAACTTCCAAAGTGATCTTATCACCTTCAGCCAAAGAAGCTTTACCTACCAACTGTACAATTTCAGACAAGTCTTCTTCTTCTTGTAAAATTTCCTTGGCCTTTGTTCTCAATGGCACAAACTCTTGGAAGTTTTTGTCATAGAAATCATCCAAAGCACGCGTGTATTTTGAGTAGGAAATCAGCCAGTTGACCGAAGGGAAATGTTTACGCTGGGCCAATTTCTTGTCCAAACCCCAAAACACTTGTACAATACCCAAAGTGGCGGAAGTAACGGGATCAGAAAAGTCACCACCAGGAGGCGACACTGCACCGACAATAGAAACAGAACCCTCCCTGTCTGGGTTACCCAAACACTTGACGCGCCCAGCACGTTCGTAGAAAGAAGCCAAACGGGCTCCCAAATAAGCGGGATAACCGGAATCGGCAGGCATTTCAGCCAAACGACCGGAGATTTCTCTCAAGGCCTCGGCCCAACGCGAGGTGGAATCTGCCATCATGGATACGTTGTAACCCATGTCACGGAAATATTCGGATAGGGTGATACCGGTGTAAATTGAGGCTTCACGGGCAGCTACGGGCATGTTGGAGGTGTTGGCGACCAGGGCGGTACGTTTCATGATGGATTCGGTGTGACCGTCGATTTCGACAGTTAGTTCGGGGAAGTCACGAAGTACTTCAGACATTTCGTTACCTGAAAAAAATTACAGTAATTTAAATCGTTTGACCAATAATTCAGACTGGAATAATGTTCCTCAGGATAAAGTTTATAAAGGCGCATTTTTGTGTTCCGTGTATCTTGATTATTTACAGGCTTAGCAAGAAAATTATCATCCACAGCCACTGAATTTCTCTAAATAATGGAAATTCAAGAGTTTGGAATAAAAGCTGTAGCAATCTAGAGACTCTGTAGTTGCTTTCTTGTTATGTTTCTACATTAAATTTTACAGCTCTCACAGTAATCTTGACTCTTTTCTATAGATGTTTCATGTTTATATTTTCCAAAATAATCTGGAAACCATGCTTTGTAGTTTAGTCTCAATGGCTTTTCTGACTATAGTTACTTTAAATTTGACTAATTATGTACAGGGTGATTGTATTTTGCACCCACGCCTATCTCACCTGTTTGAATGTACTTTGTCTTTTTTCATTTGTGTTGAATAAAGAAAGATAAGAAACAAACAGCTAGTGATTGGGTTAAGGGCCAAATTATGGACCAACTAGTAAGTGTCTGGTTGTTACCTAGCTGGTACTTTCTATTATCTAGAGCATAGAAAGTACCTGCTAACTAAAAACTAGACGTTTACCAGTTGTGAGTCCATAATTTGGCCCTAATCTGATCTATGTTTCCAAGAAGACCTATTGAAATTAGTAAAAAGTATACAGGGTGTGTCATAAAAGTGTGGCAAAGCAAAGTTACACTTTTTTAAATGGAACACCTCATATATTTTTGACATATTGGATTAGGCTGGCTTGACACAGCTGGGATATCTTTCTCACACACATTCTGATTTTTTCAGAACATGATTTTTTTATATCGATTTGCCAGAGTGACTCTGACGAGCGTTTAGAATTCCGGATCTGAAAAATTAAGATTATTTAATCATAATGCATGTTTTTTTCCCGTTATTCCATATGTTTTATACACAGTATGTAAGAACATCGAAACAGAGGTGTTTTAGAATATTTTAAGGTGGATTTAAAAAAAAAAACGCTCGGACACTTCATTTTTATATTCAAGGGAGAAACTTTTTAACCCCATCGGCATTTCGCTAAGGTGCTCCTCCTGGATGGGATGACTTTCACCCCTCTTTTTTAGATAGGGAAAATGGGTCGAGTGGTACCTTGTTTTATAGGGTATTTTGATTCTCATTACAACTGCGTATTTTTTTTGAAAATCGGATGATCAGTTCTCAAGATATTCACTGTTAAAGCTGCCATGGGCTAAATAAGAAACAATCTTCTGGCCCTGTTATTCTCAAATTAAAACTTACCTGACTTTTCTATTGGACCACTCAATTTTAATTTTTTGTGTGCTTCAGAAAAAATAGAAATTGACGTGTCCGAGAGGAAAGCCAGGAAAGTGTTGATTTGAGAATAACAGTACCAGAAGATTATTCCTTATTAAGCCCATGGCAACTTTGACAGTGAATATCTTGAATCATTTGATTTTCAAAAAAAATACGCAGTTGTGTCGAGAATCAAAATCCCTGCAACAAGGTACCACTCGACCCATCTTCCCTATCTAAAAGACAGGGGTAAAAGTCACCCCACCCAGAGGGTGCACCCTAGTGAAATACCGATGGGGTCAAAAAGTTTTCCCCTTGAGTACAAAAATGAGGTGTCCAAACATTTTTCTAAAATCAACCTTAGAATACCCTAAAACGTCTCGGTTTCGATTTTCATGAAGCATCCTGTATACAAGCTCACACAACCGGAATTCAGATTCTGATTCTTCCCTTCCAACCAACAATACTCAAAACTACAAAAACACTGGTCACGGATGTGTGTGGCAATGTGCTGGAATTCAGATTCTGAGTTCAGTTTCGGAATTCAGAAAGACATTCCAGATGTGTGAAGCTGGCCTTAGCCTTTAAACCTGATTCCAAATATACCAAATTTTTCAGGTTTATTTTTAATAGTCCAAGAGAAAATAACAAAAAAAGGGGTGGAATAATTGCATTTTTATTGAGAAAGGTGAAGTATAGAGACCAGTAGCAAAATATAAAGGTAATCATTCAAGTAAAAAATCCATATGTCTTCAAAATGGGATATTAAAAGGCTGGACTATGAGGAATAAACCTAAAAAACCTAGTATATTTGGAATCGGGTTTGAAAGGCTACTCCAATAGGTCAATAGGTTGAAAGTATAACTTTGCTTCACCATACTTATGTGACACATCCTGTATACTTGTATTTTGGATATGATTTATATCAAACAAAATTGTTTAAATATTGTCCAGGAAAAATCGATTCCTAAATAAATACCAAAATCAAAAAAGTTTCAACTTCGCCTAACTTACTTGTATCCTGAGAACAATTTTGTTTGATTCACTTTATAAAAATTACCTCTTTCTCCGCAACCAACATAAATAATGACATCAGAGTTGGAATATTTGGACAACGCTTGCGAGATTACAGTTTTACCGCAACCAAAGGCACCAGGAATGGCAGTGGTACCACCTTGGACACAACTATAAAAATTCAAACAATAACGTTTCAAAAACCACTGATAAAATAAACAAATTCTTACGGGAAAAGTGAATCCAAAACTCTTTGTCCAGTCAACAGCGGATGATTGGCGGGCAATTTTTCACTGACAGGACGCGGTTGACGTACAGGCCACACTTGCAACATAGTATGCTTGGTACGTTCGCCGTCGAATTCGGTTTCCAATACCACATCGTCAACAGTATAATTGCCAGGTTCCGCGACATAAGTGATGGTACCCTTGGCCCTGGGAGGCAACAGCATTTTCAGTTTGACCAAAGTGTTTTCGTGCACGATACCGTAGATGTCGCCGCCGGTCAAGTGAGCCCCGATTTTAACGTTCAAAGGATTGAATTCCCACTGGGCTGTTCTTGATAAGCAGGGTACGTTCACTCCCTTGGGGATGTAGATGGATTGGGTCAAATCGTGGATGTCTTTTAAGGGACGTTGGATACCGTCAAAAATTGAACCCATGATGCCGGGGCCTAGTTCAACGGACAATGGTTTGCCGGTTCTGAGGACGGGGTCACCGACTGTTACTCCTGAGGTTTCTTCATAGACCTATTATGATTTCGATTTTGCTTAATTATTGTGATTATGAGTGCCAAGTGAATAATGAATAGGATGGAAAAGTGGACTTTATGGTAATCCCTTATGTTGTTTATACAGAACCTAAGACATAAGAGAGTTGATTAAGTCCTAACTTTTATGTCTTATTTCATGTGAAAATGGATCTGAGCATATTCAATTGAAAATTTGATATGACTAGTTTGAGCTGATTGGTTGAAAATCATTTCTTATGTTATATGTCTGTCTGTATGTATGTATATGTGGCTTGATTTATACATACTGGATTTTGAACTGAGAATATGAAGATTAAAAGCATTTTATAATATATAACATTTAAGTAGGTACTATGTACTTGTATAGTTCTTCTTCATATAAATTGCACTGACATGCTTAATGAACAAAGACTTTCAATATATTGGTATATGTGAGAGAGAGATCAAGGTACAAGGGGGACCTTTTTTCTATTTAGTTACTTAAATTGTTCTAGTTTATAGACAAGATTTTATTTATTTATATTTATATTGTCTCCCTAATGTTAATAAGAGAGAACCAAATCCAACAATAAATCACTTTATGGAGGAAAAATGATCATTTAAACACAAAATTTCAACATAAGAAAAATTTAAATTTCATCATTTCAGTACTTATGATTTAGATTATTGAAAACTTTGAAAGATCATAACTTATTTTCTATTAAAGATATGTAGAAAGCTGAAGTTTTCATCCAGAATGTGACCATATCCCCATCTACCATTTGGTAAGTTTTTTGATGTATACATCCCAACTCTCCCTAACTCCCATATTTTGTGCCTTGTAGAATTTATGCTGATGATGGATCTATGATAGATCTGAAACATGTTCAACCCCCCTTTCAACATTATTCTTTTTATAAAATAAAGAGTGAAGATACACTGCGTGTTTTACTCCAGTTCTTTAAAAAAATAATTATTTCCAGCAAAGTAACAAGTTAAAAGCCCATTAACCAACCAGAACCAATTTAAAAATTCCAAATCAATATTAGATGTTCTAGTCATGTGACTTCAAAACAAATTATTACAAAACCCAAATCAGGTGACTGGGTACTCAAATACAAGGAAAAACTTTGACTTACTTGAATTGTGGCCATGTCACCCTCCAAACGGATAATTTCCCCTACCAGTTCATTGTAGCCAACCCTTACCAGCTCGTACATAGCGGATCCAGACATTTTTTCAGCAGTAACGACTGGAAAAAGGAAAACATTATTTTCAATAATAATTTATTGGATATTACCAATTACCTGGACCGGAAACCATATGGACGTACCCATACTGGGTCTCTCTGTCTTCGTCGATCAATTTCGCCAATTTCGACATTTTGCGTTTTCTAAAAAAATAAAAAGGGTTTTCCTGAAAACTTTGCCTTACAAATTCAGTCACGTGAATTCAGTTAGTCGCGCCCGTCAGTTTAGGTAAGCGGCAAAGTCACTTGACACAGTGAAATGATAAGGATATTAATGAACATTATTTGCCGCTTCTATAATATTGTGGCCCGGATTATATTCAATTGGGACTACGCCTACATGAAAAACATTGCAAAGGGTCACAATAATTATTGGAGATTGGTTAATATATGAATAAAAGGGCTCTAATTGGTACATTGAATATCAGAAAAATTAATGACAATAAATTATTCTGGAAACTAGAACAAATCAATAAATACATTTTTAGAAAATGTATAATAAAAAAGCCCTTGAATGGGTAAAATGAAATAAAGGGAATTATCAATAAGTAACTTACATGTTAGCCTTAACACCTCACCCACAAAACTCACAAGATCCTAGAAAATTATCAATGAGAAAAGGGGAAAAATTAAAATTTTATCACAAGACAGTCAGCTGACTAGCTTTTCGATTCTGACAGACACTGTTGCCAGATGATGTTAATTCAAGAATCCCATTAATAAAAAAATGCTAGCGGTGTTGCCAAAGCCATTATTGTCACTGTCATGTTAATTTGCAAAAAAAAAATGCTTTTTGAATGTTCTCCTTCGAATTGGCGTTTCCGATTGGTAGAACTAGTGCATTTTTTTTATACAAGTTTTCCTGACTTCCGGTTTCACCGGAAATGACCGGAACTTTTGATTTTTGAATGGTACACCCTGTATATTTTTTGTTTTTCGGATTCTACAGATCCTTTTACGTCCTAATGCACCACTTTTGAATTGAGTTTTGTTCAAATTTTGTTTTTAAATTAAATTTCAATTTTCTAACTAGAGTGCCATGATCATTCCAAAATGACTCTACATATTCTTTACTTAATCTCAGAAAAATACAAACTCAATTTTATCTTTGTAAACTTTTTTGATAGAGGGCTGTAAACTTCATTATTTTAGTATTTTTGTCCTAGCTCAAAAACTAGAATAGAAACATAGCACTGTCATAACATCACTAATGTAGTATTTTAAGGCGAATTCAACGATATAATACACTACGATATTTTTTTTTAACTTTCGTTCAAATATTTTTGTTTTATTATGTAGGTAATTTTTTTTTCTATTTAATGAAAACGAAATTTGGACAAAACTTGATTTAAAAGTGATACATTAGGACGTAAAACGATCCGTAGAATCCAAAAAATAAAAAATATACAGGGTGTGCCATTTGAAAATCAAAAGTTTCGGTTATTTCCGGTAAAACCGGAAGTCAGGAAAACTTCTCGTGGATGCACAAAAATGGCGTTTCGTTAAAATAACAAGCCTACCAAGTTTCGTTGATATCGATGAACAAATAACAAAATGGCAGCCGGAAAGTAATCTCGTGGGCACCCGGTATAATACCACAAGAGAAAAAAATTTGTTGGCAAAATTTTCGACTGGTATGAAAGTTTGTTGCTTGGCAATTTCGCGAATTTTTTACATTAACCACTCAAAATTTTGTCGCTGAAAAACCATCATGTTGGTTTTGTCCAGGTAGGAGTTTTGTCAGTTCCTATGACATTTTGCAAGTGTAAAACACTCTAGTGAAATACAGCTGTATGCAACATCCCCTTTTAACTTAAAAGCGCTTTTTAAAACTGGTACCTTTAAAAATTTGTATGGCTTAGAATAAACATTTTTAAAAGTGACCAGTTTTAAAAAGCGCTTTTAAGTTAAAAGAGGATGTTGCATACAGCTGTATGTCTTTTAAAAAAAACAGACTTTATAATTCAATGAAATCCGAAATTCGTATACAGAGTGGTTCCGAAACCGTTCTTGTGACGGGTTTTTTGCCGGGTTAAAGCCTAGTACTCATAACTGCGAAATTCGCATTTTTTTGACATTGCGTTGACAATTTGACGTTTTATGCGTGTATCAAACGTCAAATTGTCGAAGCAATGTCAAAAAAATGCGAATTTCGCAGTTATGAGTACTAAGCTTTAGACCTAATATCCATACTGTTTAGGGTACATGCTGGTAAAAACAAGGAACTATTCTGGAATCAATCTGGGGGGCTTTATTTGAAATTGATGCAACTTTGCGTACACGCAGATATGACGCAAATGACGTCAGTTGCGATTGAAAAAGTGCATGTCTAATAAACAGTGCACTAATTTTCAATCATGAATGACGTCATTTGCGTGTACGCAAAGTTGCATCAATTTCAAATAAAGCACCCCAGAACATATAAGCTGAGTTTTTGGAACTTAGAGCAGGTAAAGATATAGAGGAGGAGTAACATGGAGTTGGAGAATGAAGCCGTTTTTTTCCACGTATTTTGGCACCAAAAAAATGGCGGTATAGGCAGTCATTGCTTTACCTGTATTTTGGTGCCAAACACCTGCCAAAAACTTGGCTTCACTTTAGTTTCATAAGCAGAATGGCGCGTTGCTACTCCTTATGTCCGTAGGACAGCGCTTTACCTGCTTTGATTTGGAACTATTCGCATGCTCGGTTCAAATTTGCAAATAATAGCTTTGTTCCAACCCAGCAAGGAAACGTACATTTCAGGGTTAGGACTCTGCGCAAAACGTAAGTAAAATTTGATTCGTAGAATCCCCCTTCGTTTTTATTCTAATCGATGAGTTTCCGATGAGTTGGCTATTTTCGTTTAATGAATGGAAAATGACAATGATCGACATAGAATCGGTAAAATTTGATGAGAATGAAGAACGCAGGGTCCATTAGTTGTATTCCTTTTACACCTAGGAGGAGGTCCGGAACAGCTGCGCGGCGTTACGCGCTTATTAAAAGTCAGTTTTTTTAAAGATTTTAATTCCCCAAGACAAAAAAAAATTAGTATAACTGTTTTTTGGCCGGTTCTAGACTCAAATGATCTAAAGCTGTTCAGAGTACATGCTGGTAAAAACAAGGAACTATTCTGGAACCAATCAGAACATATAAATTCAGAAACCGTAATCAAGGCTCTCAGACGATTAAAGCACTATCAAATTACGAGTATCAGGAACTGATTTGGAACTATTCTCATGCTCGGTTCAAATTCTTTTGTCGCGGATCACTAAATTCGGGAGATTTGCAATTTTGAAGAGATCCAAGTTTTTCTTTTATCGTTGAACTGGTTCATAAATGACAAACCCCTGAACTGGCTTCAAAATGGTGGTTCAGAACACGAACAGCCTATAAAAGTGACTGAATTTTTACCCCAATTCTATTGGCGTAGACTTGAAGCAGACCTTTTAACTTGAGGCGATTTTCAGCCTGGAATGATTATTATTTGGTTATAACCAATGCATTTCCGCCGTCGCGGTTTTAACCAAAGTAGGGGAAGTTGTGACGTCACATATCAGCTGATTTGCTTTTGGTATTTACCACTTATAACCGATTATAACCCAGCTTTGGCCTTGGGTTAATCTTTTGGTTACAGCTTTTTGATGTTATTGTTATTATATTTGGAATTTGTATTGGTGTTTTGTGATTTTGCAGTTGCGTTGTAGCCTGGCACAATGAAAGAAGTATACATTCTCTCACTCACTGCAATTCACCATGTTTAGATCATCCCCAAAGAAAATCTGTTCGATAAACCAGACTAACGAGATATTCAGCTCCATTTTTTGTACTCAAACAAAAAACTTGTCGAAACGAAAAAACAAATATAAATAATAAACATAATCCTACACTGCTATAACCAAATCATTTCAGCGGTCAGTTCCTTGGGTTATGATTCTTGAATGGTGGGGGGCTATGACGTCACACTTGGCTGTCAAAGTTGTTAACCAAAAGAATAACCACGGTATTTACCGATTATTAATCATTCCAGGCTGAAAATCGCCTTTGAATTTTTATTATTTAGTTTTTCTCCTCTCACACTTAGGAGGAGCTCCGGAACAGCTCCGGGGCGGTAAGCCTTGTACTCATAACTGCGAAATTCGCACCCATTGCTTTGACAATTTGACGTTTGATTCACGCATAAAACGTCAATTTGTCGAAGGTTAAAAAAGTGCGAATTTCGCAGCGTTCCCAAGAGAACGAGTGTTTCGTCTTTTTCAATGATATGCAAATGATAATTTAGGTAACAAAGACGGAACATTTGTTCTCCGGGAACGCTGCTCCCCTGCTTCAAAAATAAGGACCCTGAAGTGCTCAAGCCCGAACGCCCCGAACTCACCATTTAAATGCATGGAGCCAGCGTATCTGCTCCTTTCAAATCGGGGTCGACTAAAACCGGAGCGAGTCGCTCTAGTGTTCTTAATTAATGTGAAACTCAGAGAATCTGTTCCTTTCAATCCGGGGTCGACTAACACCGGAGCGAGTAGCTCTAGTGTTCTAAACTCTTGAAGAATACAACTATTGTTCTTGAGCGTGTTCAGAAACATTGCCGTTTTCATACATAACGACAACCCTGTATAAGCATACCACAGTCAAAATTCTAGATTTTGAAATCAAACCACTTTCTGACTGACAATTTCGTGTCCCTGAAATCCTCATTAGTGTTTCCAGTACTAAATACTATTTTAATTGATTTAAGGTGACCGGGCTATATATAGTGCAAGTGCACTTTCACTGTTATTGAAAAAGAAAGAACACGTTAATTGTTGATTAGTAAATCATCAAACAAATTCCTAGGGAATCATGGCTGTACCGAATCAAGAATTTTTATGGGGAATTTTTCAAAGGTAAATTTAAGAAACAAGATATACAAAAATATAATATAAATATTCTAGTGTTGACCGAGATCGTAGTGGATATATCAACACCGAAGAATTGCAGCAAGCCCTATCCAACGGCACTTGGAAGCCTTTCAATCCAGAAACTGTTAGACTGATGATTGGTATGTTTGATCGCCAAAATCGTGGCCAAATAGGTTTCGAAGACTTTGGGGCTCTGTGGAAGTACGTTACAGATTGGCAGAATTGTTTTAGATCGTTCGACAGAGACAATTCTGGCAATATCGATAAACAAGAATTGAATATTGCATTAAATACTTTCGGTTATAAATTGTCTGATGGTTTAGTGGAAACTTTGGTGAGGAAATTCGACAGAAATGGTGACGGCACTATTTTGTTTGATGATTTTATACAGGCCTGTATTACCTTACATGTGAGTTGTGTTTTATAAAATTTTGTGTATTTTATTTGAAAGGTTGTTTTTTGTAGACGCTTACGGCAGCTTTTCGTCAATATGATACCGATCAAGACGGATTCATCACCATTCATTACGATCAATTCCTCAACATGGTCCTAAGTTTGAAAATGTAAATTATTCTATTGTATATAAGAATTTTTTTAGTTGTTAGGCTTTTAGGCATTCCTTTTGTCACTTTTAAATAATGTTTAATACACTATTTTATTATTCTCAATAAGCTGTGTAGCTTTCATAAATGATTTCAATAAAGAAAATTATTCTAATTTATTTTCTTTCGTAAACTGAAAGGACTGAAACCCTGAAATCAGTCAGCTGATTTTGACAATAACTCCCCTCTCCTATTGAATTGAATTGTTACAACAAAACATAAATATTTATTTTAAATTTTATCCCCACAAAATTACATCATCGAACATCTATTCAATTATTTAAACAATTATTAATGTAAAAACGTGCCAGTTAAGTGTGGTATAAAAAACCGAATTAGGGCTATTTTTTCAGGTCATTGTCCTAAATTACTAAATTTGTGTATTAAAATTAAAAAGAATATATCCTGTGGGTAAGAGAGACATTATAGTTTGATGCTAATGTAGTGGTCACGGTCAACTGAGCACTCATCCTTCGCACAATGTTCCTGCGGCACTTAACTTGTAGTTGCTTCGAGAAAAATGGTATAAATATTAGCTTTATTCATATAATAACATAATGCTAGAAAATAGAAGAAAAAAAAAACATGCATGTTAATACTATTCCAAGATTTATAATTTTAATAATAGAATGATTCTTTGTTATTTTTGCATCCAATTATGAAACAAGTTTTTATTCACAGGTGAAAAAGAAATAACATATTTTACACTGAGTCATTTCTATTTTTACTGAAAAGCCTAATCTATTTAACTGTAAATTAAATAAATAAGTACACTATACCTATTGAATTTGAACTCACAATATTTCTCTCTAAACAATTTAAAAGGTAAATTGTTTTTTGTTTTAATTGCCTATTTTTAATGCCTTTACACTGTTCATAAATCTACCTTGGACTTAGATACAATTCAAATTAATTAAGTTGTCTATACAAAGGTATTATTGTCTATATGTATTATTATAGTACCAAAACTAATTTGTGTTTAGTGAGTGATTTTCAATTATTTATTACAGTTGTTGAATTATTCCTATTATGGGGGATGCAACAGATGATGAGGACAATTTCTTCGATACCATCTCAGTAAATTCCAGCAAAAGAAGGCTGAACAATAACGATTATATAGCATTATCGAGGAACACTTTGTATCATTCCACCGTGGACTTGGAAGACAATATGGAGATGACAGCGCTAAGAACGGGAGAAGCTGATAAGGTCTCAGACAATAAAAACATTAGAACGTACAAGCAGTGGAGAGATAGGGTATTTTTTTGCAAGTTGTTTTATTTTAATAGGCTTCTTTAACCAGGCCTTATTTCGCCACTGCTATTTTTTGGGTGATGGATTTTTGCTTATATCTTTTTGTATAAATATTTATTTAATTGAGAATCTTTATGGCTGCTGCAAAATGCAAAGTAGGATGATTGATTTGTGGGTGTAATGCGGCTAAAAGACAAATTCTTTTAATAATGCTAATAATATTTTCATCTTGATTTATCTACTAATTTTCAACATTTTTAATTTTTTATTCTGTTTGTCAACTGCTTCATTTTGGTAGTTTTAATTTTTGTTTATTTGAGGCTCTTGAATTTTCTCTATATTTTCCTTAAATGCAACTTAAAAAAATTTAAGAGTTTGAAGTACAAAAATTACCAATTTCATTGCAGCTCCAATTTTCAACTTTTCTTCTTCAAAATCTTTTCTACTATCCCCTTGCAAAATTTCAATCTAATGCCTCAGACATTTTCCTTGAATGTCTCATTTTAAAAAATAATTCGCAGGTTTCTCAGATTTCCAGAAAAAAAAAAAAAAAATTAGACCATGGACTCTAAGGCAGAAATACCACTCAATGTGTTTATTGGATTGTAAAAATCATAGCTCCGGTATCCTAAGCTATTTTTCCATAAAATTTCAGTATGTTGAAGCTGAAAGCTTCCTCAATAAATAAAAAAATATTTGGTTCCTCCAGGTTCATCAGATTTCTCGAAAAAAAAAAATCAAAAATTAGACCATTGACTCTAAGGCAAAAATATCACTCAGTGTGTTTATCAAATTGTAAAAATCATAGCTTCCTTATCCTGGATTATTTTTTCATAAAATTTGACTATGTGGAAGAGGAACTAAAAAGTATTTAGTTCCTGCAGATGTCTCAGATTTCCAGAAAAAAAAATCAAAAAATAGACCAATGACTCAGGCAGAAATATCATCCAGTGTGTTTATCAGATTGTAAAAATCATAGCTCCGTTATCCTAAGCTATTTTTACATAAAATTTCAGTATATTGAAGCTGAAAGCGTTCTTAATAAATAAAAAAATATATGATTCCTCCAGGTTTCCCAGATTTTCAAAAAAAAAATCAACAATTAGACCATTGACTGTAAAGCAGAATTATCACTCAGTGTGTTTATCGGATTGTAAAAATCATAACTCCATTATCCCAGGCTATTTTTCTAGAAAATTTCAGTATGTTGTAGCTGAAAGCTCCCTTAATAAGTAAAAAAAAAATAGTTCTTGAATCTATGGTTTTTTCAGATTTCCAAAAAAAAAAAAAAAAATTAGACCATTGACTCTAAAGCAGAAATATCACTCAGTCTGTTTATCGGATTGTAAAAATCATAGCTCCATTAGCCTAAGCAATTTTTGCATAAAATTTCAATATGTTGAAGTTGGAAGCTTCCTTAATAAATAAAAAAATATTTGGTTGTTCCGGGTTTCTCAGATTTCCAGAAAAAAAATTAAAAAATTAGACCATTGACTCTAAGGCAGAAATATCACTCAGTGTGTATCAGATTGTAAAAATCATAGCTCCGTTATCCTAAGCAATTTTTTCCATAAAATTTCAGTATGTTGAAGCTGAAAGCTTCCTTGATGGATAAAAAAGTATTTGTTTCCCCCAGGTTTCACAGATTTCCATTTCCAGAAAAAAGAATCAGTTATTAGACCATTGACTCAAGGCAGAAATATCACTCAGTGTGTTTATCGGATTGTAAAAATCATAGCTCCGTTATCCTAAGCTATTTTTGCATAAAATTCCAGTATGTTGTAGCTGAAAGCTCCCTTAATAAGTAAAAAAAAAATAGTTCTTGAATCTATGGTTCTTTCAGATTTCCAGAAAAAAAATAAAAAATTAGACCATTGACTAAAGCAGAAATATCACTCACTGTGTTTATCGGATTGTAGAAATCATAGCTCCATTATCCTAAGCAATTTTTTCATCGGATTCTAAAAATCAAAGCTCCGTTATCCTAAGCAATTTTGCATAAAATTTCAATATGTTGAAGCTGAAAGCTTCCTTAATAAATAAAAAAATATTTGGTTTTTCCGGGTTTCTCAGATTTCCAGAAAAAAATTCAAAAATTAGACCATTGACTCTAAGGCAGAAATATCATCCAGTGTGTTTATCAGATTGTAAAAATCATAGCTCCGTTATCCTAAGCTATTTTTCCCTAAAATTTCAGTATGTTAAAGCTGAAAGCTTCCTTAATAAATGAAAAAAAAAATAGTTCTTCCCAGGTTTCTCGGATTTCCAGAAAAAAATTCAAAAATTAGACCATTGACTCTAAGGCAGAAATATTACTGTATGTTGAAGCTGAAAGCTTTCCTAATAAATAAAAAAATATTTGGTGGTTGAAGCTGAAAGCTTCCTTAATAAATAAAAAAATATTTGGTTGTTCCGGGTTTCTTAGATTTCCAGAAAAAAAAATGAAAAAATTAGACCATTGACTCTAAGGCAGAAATATCACTCAGTGTGTTTATCAGATTGTAAAAATCATAGCTCCGTTATCCTAAGCAATTTTTCCATTAAATTTCAGTATGTTGAAGCTGAAAGCTTCCTTGATGGATAAAAAAGTATTTGGTTCCCCCAGGTTTCTCAGATTTCCATTTCCAGAAAAAAGAATCAATTATTGGACCATTGACTTTAAGGCAGAAATATCACTCAGTGTGTTTATCGGATTGTTATAATCATAGCTTAGTTATCCTGGGCTATTTTTCCATAAAATGTCAGTATGTTGAAACTGAAAGCTTTCCTAATAAATAAAAATATATTCGGTTTCTCATCCAGGATTCTCAGATTTCCAGAAAAAAAATCGAAAGTTACACCAATGACTCTAAGGCAGAAATATCACTCAGTGTGTTTATCAGATTCTAAAAATAATAGCTCCGTTATCCTAAGCAATTTTTGTATAAAATTTCAATATGTTGAAGCTGAAAGCTTCCTTAATAAATAAAAAAAAATTCCGGGTTTCTCAGATTTCCAGAAAAAAAATCGAAAGTTACACCAATGACTCTAAGGCAGAAATATCATCCAGTGTGTTTATCAGATTGTAAAAATCATAGCTCCGTTATCCTAAGCTATTTTTCTATAAAATTTCAGTATGTTGAAACTGAAAGCTTCCTTAATAAATAAAAAAAATATATATATAGATCCTTCAGGTTTCTCAGATTTCCAGAAAAAAAAATCAAAAATTAGACCATTGACTCTAAGGCAGAAATATCACTGTGTGTTTATCGAATTGTAAAAATTATAGTTCCGCGTTATCCTGGGACGATTTTAAAATTTGATAGGTATCAGGTTTCGAATTAATAGGTACTCAATACTGAAAACACTGACTACAAGACACTGGAATCTCAAGATTTCATCTGAGAACCATGAAAAATCAAGCCGTAGATATTGGAGTGTCTCATAACTTGAAATTGCTGAAAGACTTACAATTTCGAGCTCAGGACCTTTGAGTGAAAATTCGTAAGAAGTAGAGCATCTTCTGTAAGTAGGTACAAGAAGTCAGACACAAGAAAACACATACCAAGAAAACCCAATATAAAAGATTTAAAGTGGCTGGTTAAAAGGACAACTGAGAAGTGGAAGATCGGAGGAAATTCAACCAACACAATTACAGATACATGAGTCATGGAATATAAAGAAAACTTCAAAGTTCAAATAAAGATCAATAAGAACAAAATATATTGATCATCATTCAAGAATTTTATGATAAGAGGTCCACCGATGAATACTTTGATTTGCCTCTACAAAAGTATTGTCAAGTCAAGCCTGTCAAAACTTCATCACATTGTTTAATGCGTTGAGCCTTAGCCCTTGAAGTTCCGCGTAGGGTTTCATGGTACATTTCATCAATCATTGGCATTATAATAACCTTCTCTCCCAGAGACACCAGAAAACCTTCAGTCAATAAAATCTCGTCCCTCACTGGACCCTCATTATTGAATTACTTACTCTCTAATAGAAAACCTTCATTTAACAAAATTTCGTCCTTCACTGGACCACTATGTAAGTAATAACTTCAACCTGTCGAAGTGGAATATAGCTCTACGGATTTTACTGGAACCGGCTGGTTTCTTCGATGACGTCATAACTTTCTCCTGGGTTAATCCAAGCTGTAAGTTGGATTTGGTTTCACAGCGACTGCATATCGCTGTTAGAACCTGATCCTTCATCATGTGCAGTGACGTTGAATCCTCCCCTGCTGAGTATGTCATTGTCTCTTCCATTCCTACATTCTACAACTGATGACTATAGAGGGGGATCCGTAATAATTGTTAGATTAGATTCTGACCTTTATCGCTGGCTTAAGCAGCAACTTCACTACTCTGGCTTTAACTATCAATATCAAAGTATTTTTCTTTCAATTGCTTAGCACGCACAAATTCGAATAAAAGATTTGAATTTACTTCCTGTCAATTAAATTGCGAATTTAATTTGGGCCCGAGGCAGAAATGAAGAATTAACTTTTTGGAGGAGACTCCAATCACTGCCAATTTCTACTGTTCTCTTCTATCTTACTATGAATTAACTGCTGATTCTACTTCTAAATGTAAGTGTAATTTTTCAATTGCCTCTTCCTCTCATTGTAATCTGTTTAAATAGCATGCAATCCCACCATAAATCCGCTTGAGTTTAAGTTTATAACCTCTATTTCTAGGAATCGTTATCCCCGAATGATCCCTGCACCTGCGTGTCCTAATTTAGTATTTATCGGAGTAATGTCGCAAGAATTGCGTTTCCATTCCCGCTATTCAGAAACGCCGACAGCGCGTGTATACAATTAAAAACTTGTAATTAATGTCGCTTGAGGTTGAGATTTATGAGTTATATCAAAAGTTATAAGTTATTATCAAAGGGTCAGAAATCTTGTGACTCTTCCGTCTCTTCCGGTTGCGTAATTATTTCTTTCGGACCGCCTTCAATAAAGATAACTGATGACTATAGAGGGGGGTCCGTATAATATTTGTTAGCTTAGATTTTGACCTTTATCGCTGGCTTAAGCAGCGAAACAGATAACTACGTTAGTTATTATTTTAATTTGAACTTAGAGAATTCCAATTGAGTCTATTGAGAGTGTTTTATTTACTTTATTTCTTTCCAACTATAACTTTGATTATTGGGATTTAATTTAAAATGAAGTTATTTGATTGAATTTAAATTTCTCTGTTATCACTCGTAGACTTTGAATGTTGTCTAATTTATTTTACTTATTTCAATCTTCCAATTTGGAATAAAAATTATCGATAATATTTTGAAAAGGTACTTTCTCCTGATAAAACAACTGTGAAACTGTTTTCATTATTTCTAATCTGTTATTAAAGTAAATAATAATTTCCAAAACTATTTTTCCGAAAATTCCCCTTTTTGGGATCTTCATAGTTTCAATGCCAGTTTTAACCAATGGTTTCCATCTGCAAAGCTTCAAAGTCTTTTTACTTTGATTTTCATCAAGATGAGCAAGCAGAAGGAAATTTTATTTTGCCTCACAACTTTCTTAATTTCAATCCGATCTTAAACCTAATTAATTAGGCTTAAATTACAGCTAATTAATTCCTCTGATAAATTAACAGTTTCAATGTAGCTTCGCAGAGCAAAAATTACCACTAATTCTAGTAGCCATTTCAAAAAACTATTTATCTCATATCCCATTGACCTCAGATAATCTTCTAAAATTCAAAATAACAAGCAGTCAGCAATGATTCATCATTTGAAACGTTTCTCATATTTTCAAGAGTGTTAATTTCCTTGGAAAAATAAACTTTAAAACTCGTTAGTCGAGCGTTTGCGGTTGAATCAGTGCTTTACAATGACTGTAAGTGAAATTTTCAAGCTACATTTTATTAATTTCAACAAATAATAAACGACCTTTGTTGATTTCGGTGTGCAATTTAAATTTAAACATAATAATTGAAATATTAGAATTCATTTCTCTTTTTATACTCGATTAATTATTATTAGAGTTGGCGTTGTTTTACAAATTCGGAACTCCAAGTGGATTTCGTGTTGGCCTACGACGAACAAGGCAAGCCGGAGCACATCCAAAAACGCAACACTTTCGAAGCCAACTTACAAAACACCGGCCTAATATTGGAAAGAGAAGTGAACCAACGAATATACTTTGTTAAAATTCACGTACCTTGCGAAGTACTTTGTCAGTACTGCGAAATTCTCAAACTGAGACTGCCTATTAAAGATGTAAGTTGATTTTATTTGTCTTTTTTTTTTGAATTATGTTGGTGGTTTTTAGTACAATGAACAACTTCCAAAGGATAATATAGTGGTTAAAGCTGTTAATAGTTGTTTGGAAAAATGTAAAGTGGCTTTGGATTCGAAGAAATTTCCGCCCAAAAAATATCAACTGACTGCTGAATTTAGTAAAGACAAAGATTATTTGTAAGAAGTTTGTTGAAATTTGTTTTTTGATTCACCATGAAACCATTTTTAGATTCGATGTAGATGCTCCAGATTTTTTTAATGACTCAATTAAAATAGCTGTAGCCTCGTATATTTTAGAAAGGGAGAAGTTTGGCTTGGAAGATCAAAATAAGGGTATTAAACAATTAATTTCTGAAGGGATTTATAAGGCTGCTTATCCCCTACATGATGTAAGTATACAATCACACATATCAAATTTTCATTTGGTTTGACAGAAAACCAAAACCCAAAAGGTGTGGAAACTTTCTTGATTATTCTGGATATTGTTCAAAGTTCATGCAAGATTTGAAGCTGAAATTTTAGGAAATAATTCAGCAAAATATAATTTTTGTCATACCCTCCCAAAAACAGCTATTTTACGGACTCATTCAAGTCCGTAAAATGATTCTTTTTAGGATTTTTTTTTCTATCTGGATGCACCTTCATGATTTCAAAAATTAAGGAAATTTTACAAATTTTAGCGTTCTGAAGAATTCTAAAAAGCGTATGACAAAAAATAGTGTTTGTCACACGTACCTAACGAAGTTTTTTAGGACTCATCTGCTATTCCGGACTCGGCTAACGCCTTGTCCGGAAACAGCAATGATTCGTCCTGAAAAACTTAATTTTAGGTAGGTACTTGTGACAAAAATAACTATTTTGAGACAATCAGTAACTTTTTTTTAGGGAGACATCGATGCAACTGGTTCAAAACGCAACCTCCTATTCCACGAATGGGCCTCGGTATCCAAATGGATAAAATTCCAACCAATAGACGACATAAAAGACTATTTCGGCGTCAAACTGGCCCTCTACTTTTCTTGGTTGGGATTTTACACTCACATGCTCATACCTGCCGCTATCGTAGGCATCATTTGCCTATTATATGGCATTTTAACTTTACCATCCGACACTTTGAGCCGCGACATTTGCAAGCTAGACATCACAATGTGCCCGTTGTGCGACAAATTTTGCGACTATTGGAAACTGAACGCTACGTGTACCTATTCGAAAATACAGCATCTAATTGATAATCCAGCTACGATATTTTTTGCTGTTTTTATGTCGATTTGGGCTGCAATTTATTTGGAATTGTGGAAACGTTACAGTGCTGAGATAGCTCACAGATGGGGCTTGACAGGTTTCGACTTGCAAGCTGAGCCACCTCGTCCTGAATACCTTTTACGCTTGTCCAACGCTAAAAAAAAGAAACTCAACGTTATAACGCAACTGCAAGAGCCTGTAGTGCCTTTTTGGCGGGTGAAATTACCTTCAATAATCCTTAGTTTTACTGTGGCTTTATTTTGGGCTTTAATCGCCTTGAGCGTTGTTATAGGCATAGTCATTTACAGAATGTCTTTGGTAACATCAGCTTCTTTATACAGGGACAGAACTGGCGTCAGAATCTACATAGTGCCTTTAACAGCAGGATTGCTGAATTTAGTTTGCATAGTAATATTGAATATGATTTACGACAGATTAGCTGTTTGGTTGACTGAAATGGAACTACAAAGAACCCAAACTGAGTTTGACGACAGCCTCGCTCTAAAAATCTACATTTTCCAGTTTGTCAATTACTATTCCTCGATATTTTACATAGCCTTTTTCAAAGGCAAATTCGTCGGATACCCTTCCAAGTACAACAAGGTTTTCGGATATAGGCAGGAAGAGTGCCAACCCGGCGGATGTCTGATAGAACTCACAATACAATTGGCAATAATTATGATTGGCAATCAGGCGATGAACGGCGTAATGGAAATGGTTATACCATTGTGCTATAAAATGTACAATACGTTTTTGATTACGAAAAAATTGGAAGATGTCGATACTGAAAAGGAGTTGATTGGTTGCAATCAGTGGACTGCCGATTATAATTTGTCGGATCTTGAGTCTCGCAGTTTGTTTTCGGAATATTTAGAAATGGGTAAGAGGATTTTATCTGTACCTATTATACCTACAAGTCTTTCTCAATTTAACTAAACAAGAATATAATCAAAACAACAGTAGATGTCTACTGGCTAAAAATAGTTCTTACTTACAATATACACTAATCAGTTTTCTCTATCGGTTCTCGTTAAATACTCAACTTCCGTAATAATTATCTTACAAATTGACGCCCAACGTGGGGCCCAAGTGAGTTTCAAGACTGGTAGAGTGACTATTGTATGCCGATCGCGATTTTCGTGTAGGTGTTCGACGAAACCCATGGTGTTTTTCGCGCTCGTTTGGTACGGGAGTCATCACGAGAAACAGCCGAATTGTGAACAACTGTGACGCGTTTGGTACTGCGTGAGTAATCAACGGTTTTGTGTGAATTATCACCGGAAATTTGTCGAAATCGTTACGAATACAAGTTGTTTTGTACATCGTTTTGATTTCCTAACGTTTTTGCCGGGTTTGTGTTCGAGTTATCAGTCAGAAGAGCTGTGTACGTCTGGTATTAGCGACAATACGCTGACTGACTAAGTGGTCTGGCGTCGCGATTAATTGACTATTGTGCATCAAACACAGGTAGGGCCAAGGGTAGTGCCCCGTTTATGGTAGTCTTTATTCCATAAGAAGTGTCAAGGTGGGTGATTTTCTTTGATTTGAACCTTTGTTCGAACAAAATGGCGTCTGTCGACTGTCAGCCTTACACAGGAGGAATTTCGCGAACTTATGGATCGTCTCGCCATTGGTAATGCACAACATGTTCAAAATCCTCCCTGAGTAGCTTATAGTGGTAATTTTGCGAAGTGTAACTCGCGTTTTGACAGTTCGTCGGATACGGACGGTAAAGCCTTCATCGATGCTATCGAGATTTTTAAAAGTTGCACAGACATTTCGGACGTAAATGCTTTGAAAGGTCTTCGCGAACTGTTCGCCCGTGACTAGGACTCGAGAACCAAATCAGACATTTTTATATGTAAAGCGTGTTCTATCTTAGCACAGCTGCCTGCTGGTACGCTTGCGGAAGAGATCCAGCTTTGCTACTGATTTCATCAAAGCGGCTAACCTCCTCCTCCTCCTCAACGTGCCTTAAAACCGGTATTATTTTGGTGAAGATCCTGTAAATACTTACCTTTTCGATTTGAATGTTGATAACACGTGCGTTATCAATACTGTACGTACAGTACGACCAACTCGAACTTTGTGACCACAAAGCACGGATGCTTAGCGAAGAACAACGATGTACACTCGACTCACTTCTATGTGAATTTTCTGAAATTTTTATTCCTTCAAAAGATCAGAATCCGTATAGGATGTCAGAGCCAAAAAAATCGATTCCTCGTAAAGAACTCGACAAGTGACTAGAAAGCGACTACATTGAAGATTGCGAGTCACCGTAGCGCCCGTCGTCCTCGTGCCCAAAAAGAACCACGAGGTACGTCTCACGATAGACTACCGAGCCTTAAATGTCATCACCAGACCAGACAGATACCCCATCCCGAGAATAGATGATCTTTTGCACGCAGCTAAACAAAGGGGTTACATCAGGACCTTAGACCTCAGAAGCGGATATCATCTAATCAGCGTGAAGCCTTCAGATAGGGACAAAACTGCATTCGTTTGCCCTTTCGGTACCTACCGTTACAAGCGCATGCCACTTGGACTCCGCAACGCGCCCAATACTTTTCAGCGCCTCATCGATAGTTTTAGGTCATGAATATAAGACGTCTTCATGTTGGCATACCTTGATGACTTGATGTCATCGTCTTTCGAAGACCATTTGACCGACCTGAGGAAAGTATTCCTGCGATTTGCTTGTACTGCGCAAGTCACAGGAATACTTTCGTCGTCAACACTTAATCGACCTAAACGTTCATTCGCCGATTTGCCTGTGAAGCCGTTTATTATCTAGGACACATTCTCTCCACGGAAGGAATACGTCCATGTGAAGATAAAGTTGCTGCCATCATGAACATTTTACTACCGAAAAACGTCAAGCAACTTTTAGGATTTATCCCCAAACCTGCTCATGGTTTCGTCGTTTTGTTGAAAACTTCGCCGATGTTGCTAAGTCACTAACGACACTTACCAAGAAAAACATCAAGTGGACCTGTAGTCCATATCAAGCTGAACAGAACTATAATATAACCACAGAGCGCGAAGCTCTTGCAGTGGGCTTTCAAGCAGTTCAGGGGTTACCTAGAAGGATGCCAAACTACTGTGCAAAGCAATCATCAAGCTTTGAAATGGCGCCTGACACTCAGGTCACCAAGTGGCAGGCTTGCTCGTTGGGCACTAGAGCTCATGCCTTAGTCTTAAAACATCAAAATTGAGTACATCGTTGTTAAGAAGAATGTCATACCCGACACACTGTCTAAACCACCATGTGAACGAGACGACACCCACGATAACATCAGAATAAACCTAGTTTCGATCGACTTCTCTACATTCAGCGCTGCAGACGCCCAAGAAGAACAATTAGCAGATCCTGAAGTGGCGGAAATCATCAAAAGTTTGGAAGACTCCAATGACCTTGATATCTACGTCAAGAAATGGGCAGATCGTCGATATATACTAAATAACGGTGTTCTGTATCGATACACCGATGAAGCCGAAGAAGAACCTCAACTAGTGGTGGCAAAGACGAGAGTCCCACACGTGCTCATACCCAGTAGGTACCACGATTCCGAGACTGCGGGCCATTATGGAAGTGAGAAAACGTATGGCATAGCATTCCGATATTTCTGGCCTGGTATGAGAAAAGAAGTCATAGATTACGTGAGCAGGTGCCTCCAGTGACAAAAGTACAAGGTGTCCTACCTTAAGCCTGCTGGACTATTGCAAACCCCCACGCAGAACCAACGATTTGAAGTCATAGCTATTGACTTAATTGGCCCTTTGCCTGCTAACCAAGAAGGATTCACATGGGTGGTTGCAATCGAAGACACAGCTAGTAGATGGACCGAGCTTTTCTCTCTCAAGACAGCCACGGCACAAGCATGTGCTACTTGTCTAATTGATGAAGTCATCCTACGGAGTGTCTCGTCGTGTCATTAGTGACAACGGTACTTAGTTCGTCAGTTCTGTTATGCAGCACGTAGCATAATGCCTTGGATTTCATCAGAACTTGATTACCCAGCTGCAAATCCTGTGGAACGGAAGAACTTGGACTTCAAGACCCTGTTAGCCATCCTCACAAACGAAGATCATACTGTGTGGTCATCTAAATTGTCGGCTATTCGATTCGCAATGAACACCACACGCTGTAGTTCCACCGGATTCACCCCGGCCTACTTAATCGTCGGTCGCGAGTTGCGCTCTCCAGATGATGACAATCGTGATTTTCGGGCTATTGTCGAAAACGCGAACTTCGTATCGCAAATCAGACCCTACCTACTAAATATGAGTGACACTCTACGCAAAGCGCGCGACGTACACGAACAAATCCAAGATCTTCGTAATAAGTATCACGATAACAAGTGTCGTGATATTTTTTTTTTCGGTCGGCGACAAAGTACTTGTTAACTCGCATGTACTAAGTAACGCCAGTAAGACTTATACGTCCAAGTTCGCGCCCACATAATTACGAAAGTAGTTACGCCTACTACTTACGAGGTTGCTTTACCTAGCACACTGGAAACGGTTGTCGGTAAGTATCATGCCTTTGCGCTCTATCCATATCGCGCATCTGAGGAAAAGGATCCGCCTGCGCCTACGCGACCTATCAGAACGCTTTCTGATAGGTCGCCCACGCAAGAAACCAGCACCACTTTCTGATGTGCCCCACACTCGAGACGATTGTGTGGAGCACCAGGAGGAGATTGTAACAAAATTTCCTAATCCTCACGCCACTGGTCGGCTACGACTTACAAGACAACCACCAAGCTACTTACAGTTTGGAGGCATCAAACCAAAGAAATCACCCACCTTAACACTTCTTATGGAATAAAGACTACCATTAACGGGGCTCTACCTGTGTGAAAATCGCGATCGGACCACAATAGTCACTCTACCAGTCTTGAAACTCACTCGGGCCCCACGTTGGGCGCCAATTTGTAAGATAATTATTAGGGAAGTTGAGTACACGGGAAGAATTAAACGAGAACCGATAGAAGAAAACTGATTACTGATTATAGTTCAATAACGCAAATTTCATTTGGTTTTCTTTGTTAATACAAGACCAATATACAGTAATCAGTTTTCTCTATCGTTTCTCGTTAAATTTTTCCCGTGTACTCAGCTTCTTTAATAATTATCTTACAAGGTATGAATGATGTAATTTTCATATCAACTTTCAACTTGTTATATGTATCATGAAAAAACTTCATCTAACAAATTCTGAATGTTTCAAGTTACTGGAATGGCTGGAAGTATTTTTCAGGAACCTTCAAAGGTGATTTTATAGGAATTTTATGTATCAATGAGGAGACAAATCCGTAACTTTGGTTGTGACTTTCATATCAACTTTCAACTTGTTTGTTATCATAAAAAAACTCTAAGAGATAATTAATCCTGGAAATCTCAAGTTGCTGGGATGGCTCAAAGTATTTTTCAGTAACTTTCAAAGATTTTACTGGAATTTTTTGGTTTTATTAGGTATCAATGGATAAAAAAATCCGTAATTTTGGTTTTGAGTTTCATATCAACTTTCAGCTTGTTTTATATGATGAAAAAACTTCATTCAACAAATCCTGAAAGTTTCAAGTTGCTGGGAGGGCTGAAAATATTTTTCAGGAACCTTCAAAGGGAATTTATTATTTTCCTTCTTGCCTTTTTTAAAAATTTTGTACACCCTGTCCAATTTGTGAAATAAATGCGACTTATAATAATTAATTTAATATTTTAGTGCTCCAATATGGTTTTGTTACCCTTTTTGTGACTGCCTTTCCTCTAGCACCTTTATTCGCACTGATCAACAACGTTTTGGAAATGAGACTGGACGCGAAAAAGTTCATAAAATACTATAGAAGACCAGTACCTCAACGGGTCAAAAATATTGGAGTCTGGTAATTAAAATCCTTGAATAAATTATTATACAATTTCAACTATTTTTTAATTTCAGGTATCGGGTTTTAACAGTAGTAGGACGCATAGCCATAGTATCGAACGCAATGATTCTAGCCTTTTCATCCAATTTCATCCCCAAACTAGTTTACATGCTAAAAGTAAATCCCGATCACACCGAAGACGGATTTTTAGACTTCAGTTTGGCTTATTTCAATACGTCTGATTTTAATGCGCCAGAAACCTCCCTATATAATGCCACAGTTTGTCGTTATGCGGAGTTTAGAAACCCTCCAGACGATCCACAAAAATACAAAAGGCCTTTAATTTATTGGCATATTTTAGCAGCCCGATTAGCTTTTATTGTAGTGTATCAAAACTTGGTTAGTTTTATTATAACTATTGTTGAATGGACTATACCGGACGTTAGTAGGAAATTGAATGATAGAATCAAGAGGGAAGCCTATAAAATTAATGAGATTATTATTAAAAATGAAACTGAGAGAGTGAGAAAAAAGAGCAATAGTGGTAAGTAATTTCATTTTTACTTACTTCAAATTATTGCTTACATGTTTTTTAGTAAGAAAACGAGACTCTGTCTTATCAGGAATTACAATATATCATGACGCAATTAGTGAAGCTGGAGATGCGAGAAGTACAAGATCGTCAGCCTTCCTAGATACTGTAGACGACAGCAGTTAACATTATATTAAAAAATCACTTGCCACAGTCATATTTACTTACAGTTTTAAGTCACATTTGATTTGAAATGGGACCAAAAAACAAGTTTGTTGCCGAAAGTTGTGATACTTTGCGTTTTGAGATTTTTAATTGTTAAACATGTGGCCTTATTTGGACCAAAACTGTTACGAGGTAATTTAATTTATTTATTTGTTTTACTGATTTATTAGGAACACGTTTTCCTAGCTTTAAATAGATCTAATGTTTATTTTGTAAGGTTCTAAAGCGAATATTTTATCTTAATTCAGACATGATGTATAACTTTTTTTATATGAAAATTATTGACGTTTAAATAAATTTGTATTTATTAGTTTTTTTTTCTTTGTAATTTAGTTCTCTGACAATTACAACTTGATTTTGATACACAATTATTTTGGCTTTCCTGTTATGCATTAAAACTACAAAACCTGTAATAAACTTTTCAATATTTATTTTATTAACAGAAACTATACAATAAATAATAATTCAACATAATACATATTTAATATTCTGGCAATTGATAGTAAAAATTAAAACAATCAATTTAGTATTGAATCATTCTTGAAAAACATATAATAAAACAACAATTTTGTTTTCAAAAAGTAAAAAATAATAATAAATCTATAATCAATCAGTGCTTTCCCCAATAATAGTTATTTAAGGCAATATATTCTTATCATAATGTACAAAAAATTCAACTTATGTTGGTCATTTAACCTCTATCCCGTGTTTTTTCAGCAACTCCCTCAGTTGAGTATTTTCATTCTCCAATGAAAAATTTTTAGTTCTCAATTGCTCCACTGCGTTAACTAATTTTTTATTTTCCTTAATACAAGTCCCTAGGCGAGTCTCACTAGCCTGAAGCTCAATAATATGCTCAAAAGCTTTAGATAAAATACCCCCTTTGGAATGACCATCATATTGTCCATTCCCTTTAAGATCCTGAGGACTTTCTGGTAAAATTTTAGCCAGCCTCGCTATCCAGTTGTTTATTTTGTCCCTGCGACGCCTTTCTACTTCGTTGTGAGTGGCCCTTCGCCTTTCGTCCCTTTTTTTTACTTGCACTACAACCGAATTTTCCAAAGTTTGGGGTCGTGGCGCTATTGGTCTACTGGTGGTTGTGGTGTAAGATTCAGGATTGCCGATAACGTAAATTGGACCGTTTGTCAGCATTTGTGATGAACTTGTAGAGGAGAAACTGCCAGAGGTTGCAACGTACTCTGGAGTATCGGGAGTGTCTTGGACTTGTAGTACTCTGTAGGTTATCATTGAACCTACTGAAGATTTATGGATTATCATTTTGTATATATTTCTATTGGAAACATTCAAGAACCAATAATAGTGATTATTATATTTTTAAATAGTTGATTTTTATTGGCTCTTGATTGCTTTGAGAAAAATTATCCAATGAGTGATGTTATCAATGAGCTATTCAGAAAGGTAGTGTATTTTTTTTATAACATAATACAGCAAGGTTACACTGATTGAAACCAGTACCTCAAACCATATTCTACTATCCGTTCAAGTATTCATCATAATAAGCTCAAATTTTGAAAAATTACAAACAAAAAAATTTCTTACCTTCAGGAGGCGATCTCAAAGCATATTGCACTTCAGTGTCTGGAGTTTCGAGTTGTATTTGTGGGGCAAGGTGTTCGATTGAAGCTTGTTCAAATTCATCGTCGCTGTCCATTGGGAGGGTCTTAATATTGCTTATCAAAAGTTTTTCTTCCATTTCATTTTTTGGGATGCTAGAACGAGAAAAAACTTTGCTCTCATATGTAAAATTAATTAAAAAATTGAGAAGTACTACTTGTTCAATTATTGTAATTCAGATAATCAAAATTTAATTACAGACAAGTGAACATGTATTTCAGAATGGGAACTTGTAATAATTCCGAAAGGAGAAATTGAATTTAAGACCGTAAATTTAATTTCAGAATAGGGAAATATCTGATTTTCAAAATTGTATACTTATCCGAATTACAATTTAGGTATATTTTCTGAAATTAAATTTTCCACTTTCTGAAATAGATACATATTCCTGTTCTGAATTACAAATTCCCATTTCTGAGTACTATTTTCCTCTTTTCTCAAATTTTATTTTCTGATTAATAAATTCGTATTCTGAATTTCATTTTTTACAGGGACTATTTCAGGTATATACAGGGTGGCCAATTGAAAACGAAACAGTGGTGATTTTAGGCTCCCCAAGAGATTTACGAAAAAAAACCCTTTTTTCGTTTTATTTCCTCCTCTCTCACCATTGAAAAACCCATAACCCTGCATTTTTTTTTTCCAATAAATGGAGCAGCAGTTCAATTTCAATGTATATTTCTCTGACGATGGCTCTTTTTTCTTAAACGGTATGGTGAATCGTCACAACTGCCGCTATTCAGCTAATTCAAATCCCAGGAAACATATTTCGTGAGGTGTATACGCAACATCCCAAGAAATTGAGTGTTTGGACTAGCATTTTTGGTAACCGTGGCCCCTTATTTACCTATAAATTTAACAGGAGAAATGTACCTAGAGTGATTAGAAGATGCGATTCATCCAGAATTGGTGGAGATACTAGAGAATGATAACAGATACATGGAAAACCGTTTAATATTCCAACAAGATGCTGCGCCATCCCACTATGCTGCAGTGGTTCGTCAATTTTTGGACCAAACGTTTCCAGGACAATGGAGACGAAGGAGAGGAGCTATTGAGTGGCCCCCACGTTCTCCAGATTTAAGCCCGTTAGATTTTTCCTCTGTGGTCATTTTCAGCATTTACTTGATTGATTTTGTTTTTGGAGCATTTTTTTGAATACAAAATATCCCAACATGTTTTTGTAGCTTTAATTAGCCCCTGTAATGGCTAGGTAGATAGTAGCGATGTAAAACTCGGGGGTTATAATCTACATAAAAATAGCTTCAAAATAAGGTATCACTCGACCCCTCATTCCATTTAAAATTTTGGGGGCCCTTGTCACCCCCGCTAGGGCTTTGCCCCCCAGGGGGTGAAAATGCCAAAAAATGGTGCCCCCTTAAATCAAAAATCGACGGGTACGAGGGTTTTTTCTTAAATGTCTTGGGGAGCCCAAAATCACCTCTGTTTCGTTTTCAATTGGCCACCCTGTATATTTGCCATATATTTGTCATTTCAAAAAATTTTAAGTAAGTCAGTTTTAAGCATACAGTGTGCGTCGAAAAAGTGTAGCAGAGCGAAGATTTTTTTTTTTTTTAAATGGAAGACTGATTTCAACTATACAGGGTGCCCCACTAAGGTCGGCAAGGTACGATAATATGGGAACCATAAACCGATTTTTCCTAAATTTTTGCTTTTCAATTCTCAAAGTTTTCTGTCTAAATGTTTGTCTATTGCCGGCTCTTGAATTGTTTATTTCTAAATATCTATACATAAAGAAAATTCAAGAGCTTGGAATAGGAACAACGTATATGTATTTGTCTACTTATCCACCCCATTTTCCCTTAATGTCTGTCTTTCAATTCTAAAATTTTTGTCTTTTCCCGGCCTCTCATATAAAATCCGATTTATTCACTTTCTAATAAACTGTCAGGTAATGCAATCTGACGGATAAAAACGCAATATGTAATCCCAATTATCCAGTGACCAGCAAGATTATAGATCTGTACATTTATCTTGCAGATAGTTACCAGCAAGTTTATCTCAACATGAATAAACCGGACCTAAGATAGAAAACATTGGATTTTAGCGAATACAATTTTAATACAAAAACAGATCTGCGAAAAAGTCGTCTGATCCAATATATTCGACCATTTCAAATGCTGAAGGATGTTTGCCAATGGGTCTTTTTTCCTATTCGAACAAACATCCCAAACATGCGAAGGTTAGTCGTTATGACGTCGATTTTAAATAGATTTACGTCGATTAACCAAAATTCGATGTCGGGAAGAGGTTGTAAAATATGACTTGTTTGGGACGTCACGCAGGGACGTTTATTTGACCATGACATGAACCAACAGTTTCAAAAGTTACCATGTAAAACCCAATTATTACCCATTCAGAAAAAAATACCCTGATGTATTAAGACGTCTATGAAGCGTCCATTTGACGTCGTTGAATTGGACGTATATTTGGTCAGTGTGGATCGAGTGAAAAGTTATATATCTACATAGTAATACCAGTACATATTATCTGATGCATAATAAGTAAGTATACAGTAGGTAACTACATAAAAAAATGATAATTGTTTTGCACTAAGGAATTTTGGCAATTTTTGCCACTCAAATAATGATCATTCTCAAGTATCAGGGGAAAGGGGGATGCACTATGAGCAACTCGAGTGCTCAACGCTCTTTTAAAAGGAACGTTCAAGCTTTTGACATTGAGCAGCTCCGAGTAACTCAACGGTTAAAAGGAATACAGCAATGGGTATTAAAAATACTATAACACACTTGACAAACGTGAAGGCGCGTTTACATTCAATTTGTAAAGGCACCTTCACGGTTGTCAAGTTGGGTATGCCCACGTCGCCATCTTGAATTATCAGTTAATTCGAATTGCCTACTTCCAAGGAAAAATTAATGTCAGTTTGAGGAATACCCACTTATAGTTAAGGATTCTCTAAAATCGTTGATGGAAACATCCTTGGGTCGAAACGGCCATAAGTAAAACAGAATACTCCACTGATATAAAATTAAGCAAGAGGAAAACTAATCCATACGAGATATCGATAATAATAATTAATGGATAAGAGTTTGTCAGAAAAGCTGATCCGATTAACCTCTGATCGATCGCCAATGGTCACCCGAAGTCACACCTGTTTTTGCCATGGGCTTCATCCCCTCGCTCCCCATACGGAAAGTGTCAGATTAAAAACAAGGGACAAATATGTACTTTATCTTTTTTCAATGTTTGAAACATCAATGTTCACTGTTGAGGTGTTTACTTTCCAACATGATGGCGGATAGTTCAAACATCGAATATCAAATGCAATAACATCGATGTTTTGCCCAAGGATGATACGCACCTATAGGATTGCTTATCTGCCACGTTTTTGGTAATCGCTGCCATATTGGTGTCACCATTGCCGACGTCATAAATTCGTCAGGGCTGTTTAAAGCTGCTCTCCAGCTGACCATTTTAAGCACGCAATCCAGCTTTTGCGCGCACAGATGCTTCATGCGCGTGTTCGTGTTCCAGCCGTACTACGCTTCGAGAGCTGCTAACTTTTGCGTTTCAAACACAGAACACTGTGCTGCATCGTGCTTGAAGCACAAACACAAGTCAGCTAGAAAGAGGCTAAAATAGCCTACGTCAAGGCAAGAAAAAACATGCTGCCTACGTCACAACTGGTGATTTGGCATTGGCAGAGGGGGCGAAGAGGGGGAATTATTCCACACAGGCCTTACGAGGATAGGCTATCCTGTAGTAGTAGTGTGTATCATCCTTGACTTTAGCCATCCAGCCGGCATTTTGAAATTTTCATGAGATTAGAATACGGGTTGTTAGCGATGTCAGAAAAGTATCAGATTTGAGAACTCGCCCCGTGTATTAATAGTCCCGCCAAAAAAACATGATTTTTGTTTTTTCGTTTGCCAACCCAGGCGCCATTTCGACAAGTCGTTGGATTGTCTAATGTCTGCCCAGCGACTCTGTGTCTACGGGGCAACGGTGAGGGGAATGCAGTTGTAAAAAAAAATGGATGATTTCATTCATAAAATACTCAGCTGCGTGCGAAACTTTTGGAAAATGTTGTCATATTGCAACTCGTATACGAAAATCGACAATGATCAAACCTCCGCTACTGGGGAGGATAAAATGACGTGAGCCCTGGCCAATAGCGAGACGTAAGGTGACGTTGGCTCATTGACAACCGTATGGTTCCCCATGGCAACGGCGATCCTGCCAAAAACTCCACCAATCAGGTTCATCCATTCCGGATGCTTGCCAAATTGTCAAAAGCTGATGGTGTCTTTAGAAAATGTTTATTTTTTACAATAGACCAAATTGAAGAAATTAGGATTAAAATAAGAATAGATCTAAGAACCACGATAAAATATTCAACGTTTTATTATTGTTATCAATATTTTGTTATTAAAAAATGGATTTTCAAATGAACTATACTTCATGCCTAGTATTATCGCTTTTTAATAATTAAGCGTGACAACATGGCACATTTATGTCCAAATTCCTTCCGTAGACTCAGATCCGCTGGGCAAACAAAAAAAAATAGTTGTGAACTCCCCTAACTCCCTCTCCATCCCATTCTGGTCCTGCGAGTGACGTCACTGTAAGCAGCTTATAGTGATGACGTCACCCGCAGACCTCGATGGAATGCTTGCGATTCAGGCTGTGCTAGTGAGTTAATTTTTTCGTCGATTTCAGAAGTAGAATTAATATATTAAAATACAAGTTGCAGAAGGCCACATATTCCCGCACGAATTTGAAATTTGGCCACGAGCGACGAAGGAGCGAGTGGACAAACGAATGAGTGCGAGAATAATAGCCTCCTGCAACGAGAGTTTTATACTATTTTCTCGATTTTGGATTTTATTTTTAATTTTTTTGTGGTCGCTGTTAGTTGAGGATATTTTTTTTGCAAAATATGTCAGTTGGTGACACTTACTTACCAACCAACTGACAGGTGGATTCTATCATTTTAGAAGGTTTGACAAGTTTGAAGGTACCAATAGGAATACTCTGCAAACTAAATGTCACTAAAAATCGTTGAAGAATAATGCGTGCGAGAATAATGACATTCTCACACCAAAATCAAGAAATAGTATATTATTCAACGAGCGGGTAATGATGGCTATTACTTACGAAGGATGAAGTTTGCACTACTCGGCTGCGGCTCGTCCGAGTGAGTAATAGCTATTACCCACGAGTAGAATATCATACTTTTTCTATGATTAATAGATAATAGGGACGAGCTCTGCGGTTTTTTATTTATTATTCGTAGCATAACAAATTTGATTGACAATTCTGACAGCTGGAGGACAAGGTGAGGTTAGCACAAGTTTTGTCCAAATCAACTGTCAAAATGACCGATTGGAAGGTTGAAAGATGTTGTCAACTTGTCGAATTTTCTGATTGGCTCTTAAATAGTGGAGTAATGAGACCAGGATATTTTCATTGGTTGAAAACAATTGAGTAATGAAAAAAAAACTCACTGTATGAGTACCTAATCATTCACATTGATCAATAGAAAATGGATGTATATTACGCATATTATTTAATACTCATAGAAAAAGGTGATTTTCGGTTTGTTCTCACAGAAGAAATTAAATGTTCTTGATCCTCAAGTATCCCAAAATTTGATGGTGGGGGAGTTAGGGGACTATGACACAATTGACACATCACATAATCCAGCAAGAGATTATGCTTGCGAAAAATTGCCTATTGTATTGTATCAAGGTTCCTAAAGTTAATAGGTTGTCTGGTAATGGGAAACCAATGACGTCATCTGGGGTGCCTAATAGAGATTTGTATTATGTTGGGCAACCCAGATGACATCATAAAAGTTATCATGCAACCTACCTACCTCTTCCAAACAACCTTGTATTAAAATAAACATCTAATATTTAATGCAATTCGTCAAACGCTCATCGATAAACTTTTTTCTGATCCAAATTGGACCACCCTGTATAAATCAACAATTTGGTCTCACTTCTGAGAGTGTAGACGAATTACAAATTGTATATTGTACTTATGTGAATGTCGGATGAGTATCTTCAGAAGGGATCAGCATTCAACATAAACTCGAAATATTTTCTATTTTTAAAATTTAAAAATAAATATTTCTTTTTTTTCTAGTTTCTAACCTAACCTCAAATTTGCAGTGTTGTTAACATCTAATTTTTTGATTTTCTTCATAATTATTGTAAAAATATTATAACGCATTGTTAGCTGTAAGAAAATACCGTTTAGGTATTTATCGCATTATCGGATTAGGTGGTCAGGATATTTTTATATACAATACATTGACCTTGCCAAAGTCATTGTATATGGAAGGGATAAATGGAAACGCCATCAAAATATAAAAACGTGTGCAAATATTTACCTGTCTTCCATGGGATCCAAAATATCCATTTGGGTACCCAAAAAAAAGCCCGGAAAATCTCGAATTATTTGAATTAGTGCGATTTTGGTCACGGGAACAAAATCGTGGTCATGTGACGCCACAGAAATTTTTCGAATGACGTATATTGACGTTTGACAATCATGAAACAGTACACACAATGAAGTTAGGCCAAGAATTATAAAAAAAGAAGAGTTTAGTTTTAAGAAGCTAATTTCCCGCCACTTATTTGAAAAAACTTAAAAAAAAATAATAATCATTAGATATTTAACAATAATTATGATAATTTAATAACGAATAGCGTTGATTAAGATATCGCGTATAAATTTGTTAGCCTAAATATCATATTTTCGTTCTAGTTTAGCAATTAGCAACAGATACAAAAAAAATCCTTTCTTCAGGGGGCAATAATTTGTTTCAAATTTAACCCTAAACATAATAATTAATAAAAATATATATTTTTGTGCAATATTATATAAATCACTCTCTCCTCAAATTGTCTAATCTGGCTTGAAGATCAGCATCAGCATCAGATAAACCTCCATTACTGCCTCCATTGTTACCACCTCCTCCACTAATACCACCTTTTAAAGGAAAAAAATATTTTATTTTTTATTGCAGACCAAACTGCAGAAAAATAATATTACCTGCAACTGCTGTAGCTGCAGCTGGTTGTTTACTGCCTGAAGCTGGCAAAGTACCAGCAGTCTGAGGTAATCCAGACAAAGTATCTCCAAGTTGTAAGCCTAATTCGTCCAAGACTTGATTGACAATAGCATCACTAGAAATTAAAATAATAAAATTGTAAATGCAAAATTAGTCAAAGAAAAAAATTACCTTTCCTCTTCATCATCGTCCCCTTCCATGGCATCATCAATAGCATCATTCATAATTTCCTCTTTCATGTCCATTATTTCGCTTTGTTTTTCAAATTCCTGCAATATCCTTTGGATTTGAGGAAGGTTGAGTTGTCTGTTCATGCTGGCCATTGCCTTAGTGACACCTTTCATGGCTTGAGCCATAGCATTTTGAGATCTCAATGTTTGAATTTTCAGAGAGACTGCTTGAATGTTGGCTTTCATCAGCATGAATTTTTTGACGTACCGTCTCGTTCTTACTAAATCTCTGGCCATTATTTTGACGGCATCCTGTAAAAATGATTAATTTGGGTGTTGGCAAGTAGAGTGACGTCGGATATTTACCATTTGACCTTCTTTAGCTAGTTTTTTGATGTCGTTGATGATTTTCTTTTCTTGCTGTTCCATTTTTTGCTTTTCCCTGTCCAAATCTCTCATTGCTTTATTGAGGGCCCTTTGGTTTTTCCTCAGCAACTCTTCCGGAGTTAGTTTTTTTCCGAATAGCCATTCCATTTTTCAATTTTCACTTCGCTCTGCTGTATAAGATAAGAACGAAAAATACTAATAATTTTTTTATGTATAAATTAATATTAAATTAAATGTATTTTTGTTTATTGCTTCAATCCTCAATCAAGTGAAATGAATCATTTGTAATGTTTTTATTTTTGGGAAGTGAAGTGACATATTAGGTTCGTTCCAACCCAGCCAAAAACCGTACAATCCGTGCGTTCGGTATTTTGCTCAACGAGCAGAGCGTGCAGAGCGGAGCCACAATCATTTGACCAGCGAGCGAACAGAGTAGTTGAACGCTGTATCAGAGCGCCCAAAACTTTAATAAACGAACGCCAATGAACCTGCACCGAGTACACTTTTCAAATAAACGAACGGTAAATTAAACTCGGAGAACTCAGATCAAAATAACGAACGCACGGTATGTACGGTCACGGTCATGCGCCATAGGTTAAACGCGTTCCAACCGAGAGATGATCGGTTACCGTACAGTTTCGTTGGCGTTCCAACCAAACCTGGGGGACATGCGTAATTCAATTTTTGTCACCTGTTTTTGTTGTTCATGTTGTTGTTAAACAACCAATTTCCAATCTAACTTATAGGGCCAAATTTATAGTCACTCCTTGAGGTTTCCTCAGACCTTAAGGAAGCCTTGAACGTTTAGAATTGCCATGACTAACTTGTCAAATAATAGCAAGTGTCCATTCTAAACTCACGACCTTCAAGGAAGAGCCAAGGAACAACTATAAATTCGGCCCATAAAACTGTAGCATTTTTATTTTTTCAAGTGAAAAAAAGTACAAAATTTATTATCAGCTATTTGCTAATCCTTGATGTTATCAGCTTGCAAGGATTCAGTTTTAGATTTTTGATAATGAATCAGCGTTGGTGTTCGATTTTCCTTTTTTATATATTTTGTAATCCTAATCCTATATTCTTCTATTTTAATTTGCAAACAAACAAATTTAGGGTTAAAGTTATTTGAACTGTCGTCATTACGAAAACGATCATGAAACCGTTCCAACTACCCGTTGTTTCTGTACCAAGATAAAACCGTGCAAGGTCAACGCATGAGCCTGCAATCCATCCTAACAGTTCCGAAACCGTTTCATGACGATACGAAAACGGGGGGTTGGAACGAACCTATTATAAAGGATGACAGAGAGGAAGTTTTTCGAAAAATTTCTTCTTTTTTTTGGCCGTAGCTACCACATAAGTTGTATTCCTTTCACACCTAGGAGGAGCTCCGGAATAGCTCCGGTGCTTCACGCGCTTATTCTTTTCGAAAAGTGTTTGTTGCACCACGCAAGTGTTTCCTGCAAATCGGGTGCGACTAAACAGCGGAGCGAGTAACTCGAGTGTTTCAAGCTCTTAAAAGGAATAAATAAAGTGCGTTTTTTTTAAAGATAAAAGTCAAAATGACATTATGTTGGCAATAAAATCTGTTTTTTATTTAAAGATAAAAGTAAAAATGACATTATGTTGGCAATACAATGTAAAATTGTTAATGCTTCCAAATTTTTTGTGTAGAAAAGGCTTGTGTTGCCAACATAATTACTAAATTTTTGACTTGGGGAATTATCTTAAAAAAAAAAACATACTTTAAATGTAAATTCACTATAACAGGGCTGATTTGAAAATCAATTTTAGATTTTAGTAATTCTACTCTGACTATTCCCAGTGCACTGACTCTTTTTGATTTGTTCAACGTCCGAACTACCTTGACTCTAATTCTGTTTCATTTGCATTAACTCGATTTAAATTACTCTAGCATTCCATCTACATTAATTATATTTAAATTCCTTCTATTATTCGACTTACTCTACGTGTTTCATCTGCACCGACTTTGTTCTGTTTGCACTGTTCCGATTATTACTGTTCGAACTACGCTAATATGCTGCTAAATAATGAATTTATTCACTATAACAGTAGGCTGTTTGAAAATTAATTTTGGGCTTTTAGTAATTCTACTTTGACTCTTCCACGTGCACTGACTTTTTCTGATCTGTTCAACTGTCCGAACTACCTTGAATGTTCTAATTCTGTTCCATTTGCACTGGAAATAGTCGGTGCAAACCAAGGTTGTTTGAAAGAATAACGTTGCGTGATAACTTCTATGATGTTATCTGAGCCGCTATCGGGTGCAGAGTGCGAAGCTCCTGGGGTGCGTTCAAGGACGGCAATGCTAATGCCAAAACCTACTTTTCCCCCTCCATCTGTAATGCCAAACCACGTTTATAGGTTGGAACCGAACTCGAACGCAAAATGCCAATTTTGGCCTGGCTGTAGCCATTCCTGAACGCAGCCCTGGAACACTTCACACCTTTCAGTGACCTGTCATTCTCCATGCGTTTTGCACTCGAACGCTTGATACCGAACGGGTCAAACTGTTGCTGGAGTACTTCTGAGTCACTCGGGAGCGCTCAAAAGGTGGCACCCGGAAGCAGCTCTGGATGCCTAAACAAAATACAAATCTCCATAGGATCGTCCTGATTACATCATCTGTTTAGCCATAGGAATTTTGCGCGAGAATCAAACATATTCGATTATGCTGGAATATGGCTATGCTCCGTTATCAACTGCCAGTACAGGATTTTACTGTGCTGATTTACTGTCATTTGCCGTTCCGATTTCAACAGCGTACTGTTCTGCTGCAAAAAAAGGTTCAGCAGGTAGATTCCAAAATCACGATTCGACAAACGACTCGACAACGACCCTGTCGTCTCGAAAGGTATGATTCCAATGAGATTCCAACCTAGGGTTGTCGGAAAAAATCGTCTCACTCAGTGCAAAACTAAGTGCATTGCTTTCCCAATCAAATACAAAACTGCAGCGCGGACTCTGCCAATGGATCATGAATATTGCATCAGTGTTGCACTTGCTATACCAATGAAATATGCTATTGATTTCTTCTGCGAGAACAGACCGAAAATCACCTTTTTCATCGAGGTCTGCCGATGTCGTCATCACTATAAGCTCTTGTTAATGACGTCACTATCAGGCCCAAAATTTGATGGGATGCGTTTTGTGTTTTGGAAGCATAGGCGACACATCAAACTAAACTTTGGAGGTTAAAATTATGCTCGGTTATTCACATTGAAATAGAATACGACGTCTTAGAAACGGTAAAGTGGGCAACATTGGAAATATCACCTTGAATCGGCATTCCCAAAAACCCCCAGCGTTTTCAAGAGAACGATTGCTCTGCTTGTCGCCCATATTGTGATTTCCATAATACTGACAAAGACAGAGCAATCGTTCCCTTGAGAATGCTGTTCCCGGTTACGAGAATACGAGCAGTAAAGTCTGTTTTTTTTTTAAAGATAATTCCCCAAGTCAAAAATTTAGTAACTATGTTGGCAACACAAGCCTTTTCTACATAAAAATTTGAAAGCATTGACAATTTTACATTGTATTGCCAACATGATGTCACTTTGACTTTTATCTTTAAAAAAAAAAACACATTTTTTAGGTAATATGGTACATTAGTTGTATTCTTTCAAGAGCTTGAAACACTAGAGTTACTCACTCTGGTGTTAGTCGACCCCGATTCGAAAGGAACAGATGCGCTGTCTTTCATGGATTTTTAAATGGTTTGAGTCGGGCTTCAGTACTCAGGTGCAACAAACACTTTTCGAAAAGAATAAGGTGTGAAAGGAATACAACTATTGTTGGGCTTCACGTTCATATGGGAGGTTCCGAAAGGGAGGTAAAGGACCCCATACACTACGATGAAACACAACGGTTTTCATCGCCGCGATGAAACACGTCGTTCCAAAACCGAAGTGTGTGGTAGAAAACCGTCGTGTTTTTCTACTGCACACTTCGGTTTTGGTCTTGGAAAGACGTGTTTTATCGCGCGATGGAAACCGACCAGAAATAACGTAGTGTGTGGGGCCCTTAAGGGAATTTATTTTGACTAGCCTTATTTTTTGGTCTGCATCAAATCAATTTGTGAAGTCAAGCCAAAATACTGATATTCTTGGAATAAAAGTCTTCTTCCTTCAAAAGAGTTCAAAAGACATTGAGAAGAATCCATATTCACCTTATTTAAATTTTTAATGGATAATACTATAAACATTCACACAATCAAAAACTACAAACTATTCATTATCATTAGCGTTACTAGCCTGCGCTAGGAATATTTGTTGCGTGCCTCCGCCGGGTTGAGCAACCTAAAAAAAATTAACACATTTCAGTAACAAAATTTAAATTACTTCGGCTAAAATACCTGAACCAGTTGTTGGGGCCCTCCTGCATTCGTGAGTGGAGCCTGAATTATCAGGGGCTGGGAGCTGTTTCCTTGAAGTTGTAATTTAATCATCTGTAGTTGTTGGGCAGTGAGTTGAATCTGAATAAACATAATTTTAATTTATATTATCTAATCAAATATCCATGCTATCATTATCATAAATAATGCAAATCCTGCATCACATGTCAAACTGTTTTTATAGTATAAATTATCAATAGATCCACTTACTGGAATCTGTTGAATTTCCCCACTTGGTGTCACAATCTGTTGAATAATTTGAACATTTCCTGGTTGATTTTGAGCAATCGTTTGACCATTGGCTTGCAAAATTATTGGCGTTTGAGTTGTTTCTGCGGCAGATGAACTAGGATTCTGGAATAATCAAATCAAATTGATATCTATTTGTGATAATAATTCTGCCCTTTCTTACCTGTTCAACAGCACTAACTTGAACAGTCTGCACTTGCGGCTGTACAATCTGTATAGTGCCTTGAGGCTGTGCCACAGTGGCTGTAGTAGTAGTAGCCGTTGTTGGTGAGGAACTCTGCTGAAGGTTGGCGTGATGTTGCTGGGCTAATTGAAAGTAATAATGCACCTGATCGTTATTCGCCCTTTGGCCTTCTTCCCTTCTAACGGGTTTTATGTCCTCTCTAGGCACAATGTCGATAAGAAAATCAAATTGATCGTATTTTGTTATGGCCATTGCAATGTCGTTTCTCTGTAGGGTTCTTCTTTTATTGTCTTCTGTATGTATCCAGGCCCTTAATGTCAACTCGTGGATGAATATTTCAGCTGCTTTGGCAAAAAGTAATGGTGCTTCTGCACTTATCATTTTAACTTCGTCGTCTAGCTTCATGATTTTTTTGATTCTTGCTAAAGGTAAGACTTGTTGTTTCAAGTCAAGCTAGAAATAGATTAAAGTAGTCGATAAATATTGAATATTATTATAGTCTCACATTACGAATGGCTTGTATTTCTTCCATTGCTTTGGTCCAAAATGTAGCCAAGGACTGTTGAGATTCGGTAAGAGCCAGTGTTTCATCTTTCTGGTTGGTTTCTGATTTAGCTTCCGGTTCAGAAACTTCTCTAAAAGTTGGAAAAATTAAATAAACGTTCCTTATTGAAATTGATATGCAACAACAAATTATTATTGAGGTTATAGTAGAATATATATAAAGCTGTTAATTATTTGCAAATTACTTACGTATTAACGAAAAATACAGATCCAGCCATTGGAAAAGAAGTTTTTTTATCAATTTAAATTATAGGTTTTTTAATGGGAAAATTGTTGATTGGTTTGTTTGATTGTGGACAATCCAATCCAAATCCTTCGCTTTAGCAGTGTTGCCAAATTGCAATTTTTTTACTTAAAAATATTAAATTAAGTTAGGATAATCCTTATAATAAGGTTTGCTTTTATTATTATTCTCTGGATTTATGTTTTGTGTTAATTTCTAGTTCTTTTTAACTTTTGTAGGAGTTGCAGGTACAACTTGATCATTACTCAATGATCTCTTGGGCTTTTGATTTTTTTTTTCATCTGAATCACTATCTGAGGTTTCTTCGTCTCTTTCAGCTTCTGCAACTGCTAAAAATTAATTCATAAAAGTTGGTTCTTCTATAAGAAATAATACAATAATTTTTTACCTGAATCTTGTTCTTGGCTCACCAAAGTAGTCAACAAGGTGTTAACGTCTCCTTGGAAAGTTTTCAAAGTTTTCCTATACTCACTATAATCTTCTAAAGATTGAATTTCAACTTTTAATTCATTTAAAATTTCATTATCATTGGATAACTTGAACTTTAAAGACATGTTATTGCTCCCTTTAAAATAAACATAACCTCACAACTTTTCAACCAACAAGAATTTTAGGTAAATGGCAACGTTGGAAAAAACAACGTATTGTTGATGATCAGACGAGTAGGCAACTTACAATACCTGAAACAAGATTATTGATCGTTTTGTCCTTGCGGTGTTTTATAAACGGGCAGTAGCTCTTAATTGTTAAGGCGGTCCCATGGTGTAATGGTTAGCACTCTGGACTCTGAATCCAGCGATCCGAGTTCAAATCTCGGTGGGACCTGTAATTGTTTTTTTATTTTTGTTGATAATTATATTATTGTTTCTATTCTCAGATTATTTTTTCATCATTTCTGAGAGCTTTCTCAATATCTGTAAGTATGTTTGAATATTTTCTTTCTCCTTACTAAAATACTTCCAAATAGTTTGTCATAATTATAAAATTAAACTTTTGCACAGAGAAATGAAAGTATCATAGAAAAACTACCTGGTCCAGTACCCTTACACACTTGACAACTAAAAATAGGTTCAAGGTGCATGTTTGATGTTTCGATAGATAGGTGCGTTACATATAAATGGGTTCCGCGCTAAAAAATTCCAATAAAAATCAAACACATTCAACTAATATTTTCATTTATTTTTCTTCCTCTGTGCCAATTTATCTAAAACAAATGGAATATTCTCCAATAGATCATCAGTATCCAATTTGAAATCCTTATCAGCCCATATGCTTTTCAGCTCGTGCATAACCAACCCCATTATTTTACCACTTTCTACACCTTTTTCTTTCAACATTGCCCCATTTATCGGAAAACTTGGTATTTGCCAAGCTTCAAACTCTTTTAAATTGGGCGAATTATTGTATTTTAAAACCTCTAAAACATTTTGTCTGATTACCAAAGGTTTCGATTTGGTCTTCACTATTAATTGTTGGTAAGGTAAAAGCGGTTTTGGGTGTAATTTTGGCTCTCTGTGTTCGACAATAAATAATGCCAAGTCTCGTTCAAATGCTGATAATTTTAGACGGGTATTTAAATTAACTGCATCTTCTACAGTATTTAAAAGGGACGAGAGTAAAGTGATGGCATTTAAATTCAAATGACCGCTTCGTGAATAGACGCGTTGTAATTCTTCTGTGTTAGGATTATTTGGTAATCCTGAAACACAACATTGCAATATTACTTTTCAAACATTATTTGAGAAAACTTACCAATATATTGACACAAACCACATTCGATAATCTTAAGCATTAGATCACCAGCAAAATTGCCTTCTAAAATCTTTTTGAGTTCCGTCCAAATTCTCTCGCCTGATATCCTACTTAAACCTTCAGCATTATTTTTAATAGCATTCAATGTCTCCTCTTCATGAGCATCATTTTTATCCGATATCCTTCCATAGAATCTAAAATATCTTAAAATCCTCAAATAATCTTCTTGGATTCTTGTAACAGCATTGCCAACAAAAGCAATTCTCCTTTTTTGCAAATCATCGTATCCAAAAAAGTAATCAATAACAGACCCATCAAAGCCCAAAAACATTGAGTTGATTGTAAGATCTCGTCTTAAAGCATCCAATAACCAATCAGTGGTGAATTGTACTTCTGCATGTCGTCCATCAGTCACCACATCTATTCTCAAAGTAGTAATTTCAAAGTTTTCTTTGTTATTTATTCTTGGAGTGATTGTGCCGTGTTTTTCTCCATTGGCGTTTATCATTCTAACATCTTCTGTTTCAAACATTTGTTTCATTTCTGTTGGAGTGGCTGTAGTGGCAAAATCCAAGTCCTTGGGCTGTTTGCCCATTAGCAAATCTCGTACTGCTCCGCCAGCAATACGAAGTTCGTGGTTATACTTTTCAAATAGTTTCACCAAAGTTGTCAGTTCTTCGGTGAAGATTGAGTGAAACTCGGGACTATCCAGTTTCATTATGACAGGATTGTCTCTGGACTTTGCCACGTTCATTTTGTACTTTTTAATGTAGTTTTCGCGCAAAGTTATCTGAAAGATTTTTTCGGTAATTTGAATTTGAATTAAAAATAGGTTTTTTTGAACTAACTTTATTGGAGCATGATCTTTTGATATATTTTACACATTGCAAAGCTAACTTACTACGGAATAACATACTCTGGATGATTGGGAATTTGAATTCGATACTGTCCTTAGGCACCAAAGGGAATTTTATCACTTTTTAAATTAAAAAAGATTGTTCAAACATATCATATTTAGGAAAAGTTTGAGGTTATAGAGTGATCGGTTGTTTGTTTGACAACCAAGCATCGACAACGTTACCAGCTCACTTTGTTCACAGGAGTTGTTCGGTTCGGCTTGGATTGGAGTCGAACAGGTTCTTTTGTCATGTGATCTTAGAGTAGCAGAGAGATCTAAGGTTAAAGGTTTCTTGGAGTGCGCTCAATTTACCCGACTCTTTATAATCGAACGTGCACTTTGTTAGCGCACACGCTAAATAAAATTGTCGGTAAAAATTGAATATTTAAAAAACACACAATTGTAATTTTGCGCAGGGTACAAAGTTCGCACTTGCCGAAGACAGTACATAAATTTCGTGAATGGCGGACATATAGATTCGGTGTCCTCCGATTGTATCAATTTTACTCAATCAATCGACCCTATTTGTGACTAAAGACCTATCTTAAAATGTGCTGGTATCACTAAAGAAGTGGTTGTGAAACACGAGAAGAACTGGGGCCCCAGAGAACCCCACAATCCGGAGTTAATCGGTGAGTACCCTGTTTTTTCTACAATAATTGCCGTTGTGTGTTTCGTTATTTTAAACCTATGGATAAATTTCTTTAAACAAATTTAATGTTAGCATTCGCATCTAAACCCAGCGTAGTCCGCTGCTAAATCTAAAATCATTGCATAACGTGTGTGTTAACACACTTTGTTACTCTATTCACACTTAAAAAGCAGGGACCTGGATCGGAACGATATGGATGCGAAAACCGGAACGGAACCTTTTTTTTGCGGACCGGAACCGGAACGAAACCAATATTTCATAGAAATGTTGTAAGATAGGCAGAAACGGAACCGATATAATTAGTCGGTTCTTACCGGTATTTTTCAGTTTCTGCATATTTTATAAATTAGGGTTTTTCGGACATCTATCGTCGGAAAACGGATGCATGAGACTCCGGCATTAGGCTGTTTGCTGTTTGGTCATATAATCATGAATTTAACACTAAGAACAGAGCATTGCAAAGCATTTCTGAGTCGCTTTCCAGTGACGCACATTAGGCATTCCTAGCTGCTCTAGGGCGCTCCGGACTGTTTATCGGTGTTCCAGCGCATTAGAGGTTCGCGCAACTGAACTGTTCGTTTTTCCTCTCCCCTAATCTCTCATACACCTCATACAATTTTACAGATGCATCAAAAACACGACGCAATCAGGTTGTGTTCTAGTGACACAACAGTTGTTTGGTGCACCAGAGTGTGAAGCTACGTGTGTGGAGCACCTTAAAATTTGTCACTGAAAAGCGGCTCAGAACTCAACTGGGCCACCAAGGATATTATACACTACTACAGTATTGCTCATCGGCCTCGATTTTTGGAATCAAGTTCATATGGTGTTGCACCGTTGCCGACGTCATCAACAGTGTCGTTCGCGGTTTGCGCCAGCGGACGTATTTAAAAATATACAGTCGTGACCAATGAAGTCGTGACCATTAAAAATGAAACACCCGATTTTTCCTATTGTGAAACGGGTTCTACATTGTCGGCAATGACAGAGATTGTCGTATTTGACAAAAATCCGTCGTAACCAATGAACTATACCAAAAACTGGAATGCGTACACATATTGACGAACATGAAGCCTAGTGCCGCTGCTGCGGAGGGGAAGCCTTTTTCTGTTGCACTCATTATGTTAAATGGCGGAAATTGCTTCCAACACGTATTCCAATTGATGAAACCTGTGAAGGAAAATATGACAAATCTTTCGAAAACGTCATATGTCAGCGAGCAACAGAAAAAAACAACAGTCCCCCTTATGGCATCTGTCTTTCATGGCTACAAAACTGGAATGCACACACATTGCCATATCTGCCAAAAAAATGAAGCCATGAAAGACAGATGCCACAAAGGGGAATGTTGTTTTTTTCTGTTGCTCGCTGATATATGACGATTTGGAAAGTCTTGTCATATTTACCTTCACAGGTTTCATCAATTGGAATACGTGTTGGAAGCCATTTCCGCCATTTAACATAATGAGTGCGACAAAAACAGGTATCCCCTCCGCAGCAGCGGCACTAGGCTTCACGTTCGTCAATATGTGTTCGCATTCCAGTCTTTGGTTATAGTTTATTGGTCGTAACCAATGAACTATAGCTAAAAACTGGAATGCGCACACATTGCCATACATGCCAAAAAAATGAAGCTATGAAAGACAGATGCCACAAGGGGGAATGTTGTTTTTTTCTGTTGCTCGCTGACATATGACGTTTTCGAAAGTTTTGTCATATTTCCCTTCACAGGTTTCATCAATTGGAATACGTGTTGGAAGCAATTTTCGCCATTTAACATAATGAGTGCGACAAAAACAGGTATCCCCTCCGCAGCAGCGGCACTAGGCTTCACGTTCGTCCTTATGTGTTAGCATTCCAGTTTTTGGTTATAGTTCGCATTGGTCGTAACAGATGAAAAGACTAATTTACCCTTGACAGACCAAATTCAAAAGCTGTCAACCAACTTCTGTCGAACCAACCAGGCCGAACCTGTTGCGAATCGAAAACGGCCTATTTTATGTTTAATTTTCTTGCGTTCGGTATTCGAGTGCGTCATTGGATACACACTACAACTACAGGATGGCCTTCATAAGTCCTGGTGTGTAACAAATCCTCCCCTTTCCTCCAATGCCAAAATACCAGGGTACTACGGGTACCAACGTAGGCAGCATGTTAAACAGCTGACGACTTAATTATGACGTTGGAAATGGTATCACACCAATATGGCGGCGATTACCAAAAACGAGGCCGATAAGCACTCCCTAGAGTGTGTATTCTCCTTGGGTAAATACAATAATTATGATTTGTAGAAATGCCAAACAATGACGTTGCAAAGCAAGGGTAATACACACGACTATTACAGGATAGTCTATCCTCATAAGGCCTGTGTGGGACAAATCTGAAGCCTTCCACCAATGACATCCCTCCACACACCAAATCACCAGTTGTGACGTAGCAGGCATGTTCTTTCTCGTCTTGGCGGCGGCTCTTTGCACTACAGGTTATGATTCTGCGGGCTTTTGCTTGATTCATTCTTCATTTTTCTACATTGATTCAAACAACTCTTTTTTAGATCTCGTTTTCATCTTCCTCTTTGCCAATTATGTTAATCAAAATTAACCAATAATTTTCTTCATAAATTTAAATTCCAAACTACGACCGCTAGTGCAAACAGCTGACGAATTAGTTAATGACGTCGGAAATGGTGATACACCAATATGGCGGCGATTACCAAAAGCGAGACCGATAAGCTATCCTTAGTAGTGTGTATTATCCTTGGTTGCAAAGCGCTTGTTAAGACGCCATTAAATATAACCACAAATAAAACAATTTTTCGCCACGATAATCAAGCAAAATCTGATTATGTTGGGTTATGTGATGTGTCAATTGTGTCATACTCCCCTAAAATCCCTCGTCATCAAATTCTGGGCCTGCGAGTGACTTCACGATCAGCAGCTTATAGTGATGATGTCACCCGCAGACCTCGATGGAATGCTTGCGATTCAGGCTGTGCTAGTGAGTAAATTTTTTCGTCTATTTTAAATGTAGAAATAGTGATTTTTGGTCTGTTCTCACAGAAGAAATTAAGTGTTTCTGATCCTCGAGTATTCCAGAATTTGATGGTGGGGAAGTTTGGGGATTATGACACAATTAACACATCACATAGTCCAGCATACTCGAGTATGTTTGATTATCCTTGCGAAAAATTGCCTATTTCCAAAATCGCATTAATTAGAAAAGTAATTACAGGTTAAGAACGTTCGTCCACTTTAAATTGGTTAATGTAATAAACCAAAGGCTTTTTTTCGCGGGCGAATGGTTCAAACTACGGTTTAAACTAATCTTATGTCAACGGAGAACAAGCCAAGAGTCCGGTTCGAACTTTTTCAAACAAGTTTTAATGTGACGTCACTGGTTCAACGCAAGAAAGTACAGGTTCGAACCTAATCGGACCGGATCGAACCAGTTCCACCGCGAGAAAACAGCTCAAATATGCATAAAGCAAAAATCTGCGCGATCATAGCCTGTGGTTCAAGCACCCTACGTCAAGGCGAGAAACCACGCTGCCTACATCTTCACTGGTGCTTTGGCGTGGTGTGTGGATCGAGATTTCTATTAATTAACTGATCGAAAACACAAACAATTATTAATAAGAATAATTAAATAATTATTATTAGAGTTGTTGCAGATAGGCAGAGAAATCCTACATAAAAAAATAGGTATTTGTGAAAAACTATACCGTTAAAACCGAAATTATTGTTCCGAACGCTGTAGATCGGAACCGATATTTCATTTCGGTCCGGGTCCCTGCTAAAAAGTCGTACCCGAACAGTCAGAGTGTTTACGAAGTAGTAGGGAAGGATTGAATAAACCATCCTTAGAACAGAACAAGTAAGTGACAAAAACAGCTCTGATTTGAACTTGGCTTTTAAAGTGAGTTCGGAATGGTAAAAAGTGTCGACACTTTTTACACTATTGACGTTCGTTAAATGGTAAATAGGAGTAAGTTTGGTGTACACTTTATTTGCATTTGGAAATAATTGGGTCTCCGAATGGTGTGAAGTGAAGATGGTGGGACACCGTTTACTCGGTACAAAATGATGGTGTATTCGGTGTTACACCGCCGCGTACACCTTCATCACGTGATATAACACTGCACTACATTAACACCGCACTAACACTGCGCTAAAATCCCACTCCGAACTCAACCTAAAAGAAGAACCCCATGTTGTCAAAGTCATATGTTTTTTATTTTCCTTACCTAAATTTGATGAATAATTTGCAAATTTCAATTTCCATCCATTTTCTTTTAAAAAAGTGCGTCTCAATTTCGGCAACCTATATGTGTTATTCCAAATCCTTAAACGACCTGAATTACACGTGCATCAGATAACTATACACACTATTTATTATGCCTGAAACAGGTAAAGTTGGGGTCCAACCCCCAGTAAAAATCGGGCACTACATCCTTGGACAAACCTTGGGCGTCGGTACTTTCGGTAAAGTTAAAATCGGAGAGCATCAGCTTACCAAGCACAAGGTTGCCGTTAAAATCCTGAACAGGCAAAAAATCAAAAGCTTAGATGTAGTTGGTAAAATTAGGCGAGAAATTCAAAATCTCAAACTATTCAGGCATCCACACATCATCAAACTGTACCAAGTCATCAGTACTCCAACCGATATTTTTATGATTATGGAATACGTTTCGGGGGGTGAACTGTTTGACTATATAGTTAAGCATGGCAAACTACAAGAGCATGAAGCGAGGAGATTTTTCCAGCAAATCATTTCTGGAGTGGATTACTGCCACAGGCACATGATTGTACACAGAGATTTGAAGCCAGAAAATTTACTCCTGGATCATAACATGCACGTAAAAATTGCAGATTTTGGTTTATCCAACATGATGATGGACGGTGAATTTTTAAGAACAAGTTGCGGATCACCAAATTATGCTGCACCAGAAGTAATATCGGGCAAACTATATGCCGGCCCCGAAGTAGATATTTGGTCGTGTGGAGTTATTCTTTACGCTCTACTTTGTGGCACGCTTCCTTTTGATGACGAACACGTCCCTACCTTATTTAGGAAAATCAAATCGGGAATTTTCCCTATTCCTGATTACCTAAATAAGTCGGTTGTCAGTTTGCTATGCCAGATGTTGCAAATTGATCCAATGAAAAGAGCCTCTATTGAGGATATTAAAAAGCACGATTGGTTCCAGGCTGATTGTCCAGCTTATTTATTTCCGTCACCTGTGGAACAAGATTCTTCGGTTATTGATATTGATGCAATAAGAGAGGTAATTTTTGGTTCATAATATTATTACATATTTATAAGGTTTAGTTTCAAATATTGATGATGCTTTAAGTGAGTGATTCTCTTTGTAAAATCAATGCATCATTCTGGTTTTAGACTGTCGGATAGTGACAGATTTAGGTGCCCCATTTTCGCATTCAAGCCTCAAAGAGGGTTGGAAAGTACATCGATTTTGAGTAGGATGAAGGTATTTTTACGAGTGGCTCCTAGGGATAACATATGGAAAATTCGATTTTATTTATGTTACTCTAAAATGTAATTTTCTATTTGCGACACTCAAGCCAATATATTTTCTTGCTTCCGACGTTGTAGATTTTCATCCTTCCAATGGGCTTGTGTGGAAAAATCGCCCAAAATCTCGATTTTTCCTTACAAGATTACGCCCTTATTTCAAAGCTTCAGCCACCTGCAACACCCCTTTCTTTGTTTTCACGAAGCCAGGTTTAATGAATTAATCCTTTGATGAACACGGCTTGCGAGAAAATATGGGCATTAGGACGTCTTCCATTTGTGTTACGGAAAATGGAATTTTCCATACGTTATCCCCAGGAGCCGCTCGTAAAAATACCTTCATACTACTCAAAATCGATGTGCTTTTCAACCCTCTTCGAGGCTTGTATGCGAAAATGGGGCACCTAAATATGTCACTATCTGATAGTCTATTTGTCTCTGGAGATTTTACTTCTATTGTAATGATTTGGTCACACTCGGAGAGTGATGACTTATTTTTGATGCTGTTAAAACTAGTGATGTAAAATTCCCGAAACATCCAAAAGCCGCGAACATTCTCGGAAACTTTCCAGGAATATTGGAAACTTTCGGGAACTTATGGAAATATTGTTTTTTTTTTTAAATTTATAGCTAAATCAGACAAATCGTAGTAAGCTTTATTTACCTATTATTGTAGTGTACTTACTGACTATAGACTTTAAACTAAGAAAAACACCAATTTTTTTTCTGTAAGATCAGCTACAAATTAAACTACATAGTAAAAACACTTTTATGGATGGTTGAATAAGGCATTAAAGGAAAAGCTGATCTGATTAATCCAATCTCTCAGCTCTTTATTTTTTATCTTTCTTCAAGGAAGATTATTTAAAAAAAAGACAATCTGTAGGTTGTAGGTACATCAGCTGGTGATCGGGTAAATCGGATCAGCGTTTCCGTAAAGACAGTTGGACTGGGCCACGTCATCCACATAAATTGAAATGACGTCACTGAGACCTTGTATTCGCAATGATCTCGCATTTTTATAAAATTTTTCTGGAAAGTTCTTGGAAATATTCTTGAAAGTTCTCGGAAATATTCTTTTGAGAGTTTTTGATTGAAAGTTTCCGGGAATATTCTCATTCAGGAGAACGTTTCCATTTTTTATCGGCGAATATTCTCGGAAATTTCCCAATGTTTGCGAATATTCGCATGGGAATATTCTTGACTCACATCACTAGTTAAAATAATCTAAGGTTAAAACTAAGATCCAGTGGTGATTCCAACTTACTTTACAATTACATCTTTTTACTTGGGTCCTTTGATTGCTGAAACTGGCTGAAACAGTGTATTTGTCACTGTTTAAATCTTGTCATCTCAAATAGGTCAGAGAAAGGCAACTGCAGCTGATATAGGTCAAAGTGAATCTTGCAGACCATGGTTTCAAGATGAAGGAGAATCTTTCTCTCCCTGTATGTTTACAAAGTTGTTCAAAAAATAGTTACTTTACTTTAACGAGTAAAGCGTTACTTGGTAACTTCGTTAATTTTCAGATTGATTGATACCTAAGTAACTGTAACGACGTTACTTTCCTGAAGTAACTGCAGATCGTTATTTTGTTAAAGTAACGAGTTACTATGAAAGTAGCGCGTTACTATAAAAATAACGCGTTTATATGGAAGTAACGCGTTACTAGTTACTATCAAAGTAACACGTTCTTTCAATTTGTATATCGTCTTTACAAATAATTGACGATTGAGGAAAAGGAAAATAAGTAATCAAAAAACTTTGTATGTCAAATAAAATGTGGGTAGTACAGAAAATTTGTTTTGAAAACTCAAAATAATCGTTTTTAGGCGTAGCACGCGCCGCCTCTGCTCTAAAGACACTATATGCAGACACTGGGACGCTTCAAAAAGCCAGGTTTTTCCAAAACTATGAAGTTCTCTATTTAGTCGCTTAATCCTTAATCCGTTTGAATTTTGCAACAAAACTCTTCCACATAGTCGGACTCACAAACTAAAAACATATTGGCAAAACATTAACGCAATTTTCGACGTAAATAGTTATTTTTGAAGTAACGCTTTATTTAAGGTAACGGGTAACTTTCAAATAACGAGTTACTTTTAAGTAACGAATTACTTCTAAAGTAAAGAAGTTACTTTCAAAGTAAAGAAGTTACAGTGACGCGTTACTTTCCAATAAGTAACGAAAATAAAGTTATCATTATTTATTTATTTATTTATTTCATTACTTTACAAACACCAAAAATAGTAATTACATGTAAAGTTAAAACAGCGAAGTGTAAAACACAGAAATAAAGATAGAGTACACAATATAAACATATATGACTAATTTAAAAGGGCCTTCAATTGATTGAAAGTTACATTAAAAAGATCTACCTGGACCTCATTAAGTGCTTGGTTCGCAACTGTCATCATGCGATTAAATGGTGACATATTATTACTAGGATCAGTACCAAAGTATTTCTTGTTTTTCATAATTCTTAAGTTAATCTTTGGTACAATTAAGGAGACATAGTTAATTAAATTACAATCCTTATACTTTAGGTTGTTTAAAATATAAAACAAAAATATCACAGCCTGATTATTCCTTCTTTCCACTAATGACTTTATCTCAAAACTAACAAGCATATCCCTGTAAGGAACCATATATGGGTAAATATTATTTTTAACCACATAGAGATACCGCAAAAATCTCTTCTGCACTTTTTCAATTTCATTAATATGCGTGGCTTCCAATGGCATCCAAATGTGTGATGCATATTCAAGGTGTGGTCTCACCAGAGCATTATACAAGTTAATAATTGTACTTATTTTAAAGTTCTTACTATTCCTGATTACAAAGCCAAGTGCTTTTACTGCTTTATTGACAGCATGATGAAAATGCTTATTGAACTTCATGTTGGCCTGGAAAAAGACACCCAAATCCTTCACCTCTGTTTGACGATCAAGCTCAGTATCACCAATCTTGTATGTTTCTTCTATTGGGTTTGTTCGTCTCGTAAAGCTGACAACAGAACACTTATTAACATTTAGGGACATTCTGTTGTTGTTGAACCAGTCCATCACCCTATCCATGTCACCCTGAAGCCTTCTGCAGTCCTCCTGCCGCTCAACAATCCTACAGAGCTTGAAGTCATCAGCAAAGAGAAGTCCCATAGAGTCCCTCAGGCAGTCAGGCAATGAATTGATGAAACACAAAAAGAAAAGAGGGCCCAGTTTACTACCCTGCGGGACACCTGAGGTTGCAACAAACGCCTCAGAGTTGCAAGCGCCGACCCTCACTGTCTGGACCCTGCCTATTAGGTATGACCTCACAAGATGGTAAGCATCCTCTGACACCCCAAACTCAGCAAGCTTGCAAAGCAGCAACTCATGGTCCACCCTGTCAAAAGCCTTCTCACAATCTGTGTAAATGACGTCCAACTGGCTCTTATTCGCGATCGCCTCAGCCGCCATTTCCGAGAATATAGAGAGGTTTGTTATTGTTGACTTATCATTTAAGAATCCATGCTGGTATTTAGAAATTTTAGGTTTTAGAAAGTCTGAAAGATCATCATAAAGTATTGTTTCAAAAATTTTTGCTAAAATATTAATGAGGCAAATCGGTCTATAGTTCCTAATTTCGTCCTTTCGTCCTTTCTTGAAAATAGGTGTAATCTGAGCATTCTTCAAGGCATCAGGAAATTGTCCACTTCCAATAGAAAGATTGAAAATATGTTTGAGCGGTAGAGCTATGAACTCAGCCAATCCTTTATAAATATAGGCAGGGATCTGATCAGGCCCTGTCGATTTTTTAGGCTTCAACCTTTTAATACTATTTACAACTTTCAACTCTGACACATCTGAAAATTTAAAATCACATCCGTTTACATTCCCCATGTATTTACTTACATCTTTGGGTCTTTCATATACTGACTCAAAATGCTGAGCAAAAGCCATCGCTATATCCTCAGAACCCGAGTACAATTTCTCATTAAATTTCATTTCCCCCGGTATCCCTCGATTCTTGCTCTTTTCATGCAAAAACTGCCAAAATGAACTGGGATCTGAATTTAGGTTAAGTTCCACATTATTCTTGTACAGGTTGTATTCTGCTTGGGTCTGCAGCTTGATGCATTGTCTTAATTCACTAAAGTGCAATTGCATTGCATTATTCAAAAGTAACTGTAAATTTTAAGTAACGAGTTATTTTCAAGCAAAAGTAACTGTAAAGTAACGCACTTTTTTCAAGTAACGATCCTAGCTCTGGTTTTCAATGACAATATGTATTTTCAACCAATAAAGTATACCTACCAGGAACAGGAATGATGTTTCAACCAAAAGATGCCTATTTTTATATCGAACTAATCCTTAAGATCATAATCTATGTCTAAGAAAGGCATTCTAAATTGACATTTTGTTTCTTGATTCAGGTGTGTGAAAAATTTGGAGTTCAAGAACAAGAAGTCCATAGTGCTCTTCTCAGTGGTGACCCACATGATCAGCTAGCCATAGCTTATCATTTGATCATTGACAACAAACGTATAGCAGATGAGGCAGCCAAGGCCGAATTGAAAGATTTTTACGTGGCAGGAAGTCCGCCTCCAGTTAGTGTTACACCTGTACCTGCGGATTTCAATAGCCCCTTGAAGCCGCATCCAGAAAGAATTGCACCGTTGAGAGATCGCGTGGCCGCCGCTAATCATGCAGCTGCCACTGGAGCAGATCGGAGTAGAGGTAAATTTATGTCACTTCTTGGCAGTATCAGAGATTAACATCCTTAAATATGAAAATTCTCATGTCCAAAAATTTATTTAGTGAAACGTGCAAAATGGCATTTGGGAATTCGTTCTCAAAGTAAACCTAATGACATAATGATGGAAGTATACAGAGCAATGAAAGCTCTAGATTACGAATGGAAAGTTATCAATCCTTATCATGTTAGAGTACGACATAGGAATCAACTTCACGACAGATACATTATGATGTCATTGCAATTGTATCAGGTAAGGGTTAAGAGTGTATTGATTTTTTTAATAAATAGAAGAGCTTCATTTAACTTTTCAACAATTTTAATTTAGGTTGACTATAAGAGTTATCTACTAGATTTTAAAAGTTTGAGTACTGAAGATGCAGAGTCTAATAATGGAAATCCTGCCACATTGATGATGGATAATGTACCTACTCCAGTTCAGACAGGTACGAATTTCTATTTGAGTAAAAATTTAGTTTTTATATATTTTTTTTTTAGGAAATGCATTAACTAGTCTAAAACCTACCGGCCATCATACAATGGAGTTCTTTGAAATGTGTGCGGCTCTTATTATACAACTCGCTCGCTAAATTTATTTGCAAAATCAAATCATAAAGTTTCTTATTATTTATAGTATTTTACTGTTAAATGTTTATGCTTCTTATGTACTGGTTCAAATTTTAGACGTTTAAGCTGGTATTTTTTCTTTTAAATATTACATCATTGGTATATTTGTGGTGTAATATTTTTGTATATATTTAGTTTAGATTCAAGAAAATAAAAAACTAGTTTTAGGTTTTACGGTGAATTGATTTGGGAATGCCACCAACAAAGTATTTGTGTACCTATGTTAAATTTATAATATTGGAAATAAAGATTATTAATATGTTGAACTGTTTTTTTTTTTCTATCCTGAATGAACTCTTTAGGTAAACTGAAAGAGCTGAGCTAACCTAACCTAAGCCAAACACCATCTATTGAAGGTGAAAAAAGTCCAGAAATCTCTTGCATTTCAAAACAAGGGATCGAGCAAAGAGAAAGTCTGATTTTACAGAAGTTTCAAAAATAGCTGTTCTATCATCAAAAACAACAGAACAGTTGTCTATTAAAAAAAAAAAAACAACAGTGATACCTGGACAAGAATCTGTAGACTGTTGTATTAAGATTACCTCCTAACAAATAACTTAAAAATGCTTTCTATTATGCCAGATTTGCATAGCATCACAAAATCAACCTTATATAATAATATTAGCTTTGTTGAGAAAGGATAAAGGAAAATGGGAAAATATAGTTAAAAAAAAAAACATCAAAATAGGTAACCTTATAAAATACCAATATATTTCTTAAAAAATATACTGCTTAATCTTCCTTCTTAGTTTCAACCTTACCACCACGAATACGACCAGTTCTTCTAGCAGCAATAAGACCGACTTTACGACCAGCGGATGTACCCCTCTTAACAGTAGAAGCTTTACCAATGTGTTGATGGTTACCACCTCCGTGAGGATGCTCGACGGGGTTCATGGCAACACCTCTAACCTTAGGCCAGCAGTTCCTCTTCACCTTGTACTTGTGATAAGCCCTACCGGCTTTCAGGATGGGTTTGTCGATCCTACCTCCACCAGCTACGATACCAACCATGGCTCTGTTGTTGGATGGGATTACTTTTTTGGCGCCTGAAGGCAACTTGACTCTGGTTTTTTTTGTGTCGTGGTTGTGGGCAATTACAGTGGCGTAGTTACCAGAGGCACGAGCCAAACGGCCTCTGTCACCAGTTTTTTCTTCAAGGTTACACACAATGGTACCTTCGGGCATGGTTCCTACTGGCAATACATTTCCTGAAAAAAAAAATCTTTATGAAAAATTTACATACTTAGGAGTTATTATTGAAATAAGGCATTTCTAGTGGATTTATTTATAATGAACTGTTCTGTTCAAAAATAACATTGAATATTGTGAAATGGGAAAAATGTTATGGTACACTGAATGTCATGGACAGGGACAGAGAGTCTCAAAACGCTGTCCCACAGACAAAAAGAGCAATATTTAAATCTACCAAGTTTATAGAAAAAAATATAAACAAGCACAATACTTCACTTACCAATTTGCAAATTGGCTTTCTTGCCACAGTAGACAAATTGTCCAGTGTACATTCCTTCGGGGGCGATGAACAATTCTTTACGTGTCTTGAATTTGTAAGGGTCACGGAAATGTACGAAAGCCAAAGGTGCTCCTCTGCCGGGATCATGAACAATGTCCTTAACGACACCCTTGATGTAGCCATGTCTTTCGGAAAAGTCCAAGTAACGCAATTTGGGCGCCCCTTTCCTCTTTTTCGTGTGGGACTTGAATACAGACCCAGCACCTTTTCTCTGTGCTCGGATTACACGACCCATTGTTTACCTAAAAAAAATCGGGATAAGTTTAAAACTATTCACTCGTATACTGACCGTAAGCTATAAGGGATATCTGAGATATGGTTTTCTTTGGAAATATCCAGGGATTATTGGGATTTTCTTGGATTTTTAATTTTCTGAAATAACAACATACCGATCCTTATTTTGAACAGGAACGAAAGGAAGAACGTCAATGTCAACGTCAACTAAGTCAGTCAAGATTTTTTATTTTTTTTTGGTTTGTCACTCCGTGCACTCTAATAGCGTTTTCGACTTTCGCCCCAAACTGCTCCCGATTGATTAAAGGTCTGTTCCCACAGGAGTCCCTGACAGTTTGCAAACTGTCGGTAAGCATCGCCCATGCATGTTTTCAATGCTGTGGTTACAAGATAAAACTGTAACTCAGCTGAGCGATTGTTTCTGACAGTTTGCAAACTGTCAGAGACTCCTGTGGGAACAGACCTCAAGAAGCGATCTGTACCGGATTCACACGTTCGGCTTAAAACGGAGCATTACCCTCGGCGAAATTCACGTGTTCCATTTGAACAGAACGGTATCAAATCTCGCATGAACGCTTTTTTTTGCTCCGTCAAAATTCGATGAATCAAAAACCCTTTTCACGTGGCTCCGGTTTAATATACCGCTCAAATTCGAGTGGTAGGTATGTATTTGTAATACCCATTTAGAATAACCTCATCCTTATTTATCAATCACGAATCAGATGCTACAAGCTTTTTCGATGCGTGCCGACTTGTGTCATGCGCAGTACGGTAAAAAATAATTCAGGTTATCCTTGCGTTCGGTATTTTGCTCGAAGAGCAGAGCGTGTAAAGCGGAGTTGTAATCATGTGACCAGCGAGCGCACAGAGCAGTTGAACGCTGTATCAGAAGACTCAAAATTTTAATAATCGAACATGAATGAGCCTGCACCGAGTACACTTTTTAAATAAACGAACGATAAATTTATGCTCGGAGAACTCAGATCAAAATACTGAACGCACGGTTCGTGACCCTATCATTGCGCACAGCAGACTGAAAATTGACAGCATTGAGGATGGGTATCAATTTCCCAGCACGCGTGCCGAAGTGCCAGTTCGCTACCAGATTAACTGAGGATGTAGCTTTAAGGCTCTTCCTCAATCAATTTACTAGCGAAGTGGCACTTCGGCACGCAAGCTAGGAACATGTTGTTTAACGTTGGCATCCTCAATTCAATTCCGTGCTGGCATGCACGTCGACTCCGAAATGAAGGTTGCAAGCTGCCAACTTTTTCGATGCGTGCCGACTTATGTCATTCGCAGTACAGTAAAAAATGATTTAGGTTATCCTTGCGTTCGGTATGTTGCTCAAAGAGCAGAGCGGAGCCGTAATCACGTGACCAGCGAGCGCACAGAGCAGTTAAACGCTGTATCAGAGGGCTCGAAATTTTATCAAACTAACGTGAATGAGCCTGCACCGAGTACACTTTTTGAATAAACGAACGGTAAATTCATGCTCAGAGAACTCAGATCAAAATACCGAATGCACGGTATGTGACCGTACTACACGCACAGCAGACTGAAAATTGACAGCATTGAGGATGGCTATAAATTTTCCAGCACGCGTGCCAAAGTGTCACTTCGCTACCAGATTGATTGAGGATGTAGCTTAACTCAAAAAGTTAACTTCAAGTTAACTGTCAAAGCAGTTTTATAATACCCGCCCTAAAACGACTAACCGTTTTGTAGCCCGGTTAGTTTAAACCGGAGCCACGTGAAAAGAACTAAAGAGTAGAATCGAGAGAATATGAAACCATACTTTTCAATAGGTCTGTTTCTGCAAAAATCACAAACCAGTCAGAGTGAATTTCATTGGTTGAAACTAGTTTTCTGACTGTTTCTGACTGTTTTAAACCAATGAAATTCGCTCTGACTGGTTTGTGATTTCTGCAGAAACAGACCTAATAATTCTATTTTGAGACTTTCTTGAGATTTTATTGAGGACCAGTACCACGCTGATCACTCCTCTGCCTGCTCTTTCTACATTTATCAAAGCATTACCACATTCTTATATTTTTTTTTGAAACAAACACGGATATAAATAAAAGTGTTTTGAGGTTGAAAGGCTGTGAAATTTTGAGGAAGACCCATGTAACAATCGGTTGATTTAAAATTGGGTGCCCTCGTTTGGAATATAATCGCCTTTGGAGCACTCCCATAGAGATCTGTGACGTCACCTAGCATACGGGGAGCGCTATAAGAGCAAACGAAAACGCCATAAGTACTCCGTACGCACTACGACAGTTCGAGTAAAAATGGAACTTACTGCAAAGGTTCCAAGTTTCAAGTAGAGTATCTATCGAAGTGTGCCTTGTTTGTTGACTGTTGAATAGGCAATTTTTCGCGCAAAGCATAATCGATTATGCTGGATTATGTAATGTGTCAATTGTGTCATACTCCCGCACCATCAAATTCTGAGATACTCGAGGATCAAAAACAATTAATTTCTTCTGAGAACAGAAAATTGACGAAAAAATTAACTCAGTAGCACATCCTAAATCGCGAGCATTCCATCGAGGTCTGCGGGTGAAGTAATCCTTATAGGCTGCTGATAGTGACGTCGCCCGCAGAGCAACACATTTTAAGTTGCGGTTGTGATGATATTGAAATAAATCATTTCGATTTGAATAGGAACTTAACAGCTCCTAAATTTAATCGGTTGTCTGGGAATGGATTGGGTAATGGTAATTAGATGACGTGATCAGTAGGATCTGATGGAGACTTTATTTGTTTAGGCACCCCAGATGACATCATGAAAGTTATCCAGTCAACCTACCTCTTTCAATCCAAGGATAATACACGCTACACTACTACAGGACCCACCATTCCAAAGCAGCAGTGATGACGTAGACAGCGTGTCGTTTCTCGTCAAGAATGATACACACCTACAAGAATTGCTTATCGGCCTCGTTTTTGGTAATTGCCGTCATATTGGTGTGTTACTATTTCCAACGTCATAACTAAGTCGTCAGCTGTTTACACAGTCTACGTCAAGGCGAGAAATAACATGAGCATGTCACAACTGGTAGTTTGGCGCGGGAGGAAAGGCAGGATTTGTTACCCACAGGCCTTATGAGGATAGGCCATCCTGTAGTAGTAGTGTGTATCATCAATAGTTCTTTTCACGTGGCTCCGGTTTAACTAACCGGGTTACAAAACGGTTAGAGAAATGACATACCGTTTTCTAACCCGGTTACCAAGTGACGTGATAGATACCTGCCACTCGAATTTGAGCGGTATGTTGCGGTTTGTTAAACCGGAGCCACGTGAAAAGGGTTCTTGGTTTTTCGCCTTGACGTAGGGCGTTTGCAAGGATAATACACACTACTAAGGATTGCTTCTCGGCATCGTTTCTCACCATTTTCGACGTCATAACTAAGTCGTCAGCTGTTTGCACTAGCGGTCGTAGTTTAGAATTTAAATTTATGAAGAAAATTATTATTTAATTTTAATTAACTTAATAGGTAAAGAGGAAGGCGAAAACGAGATCTAAAAAAAAGTTGTTTTAGAATGTTAATTATGGCCGATTACACCGACCGTTAGTGCAAACAGCCTACGCCAAGACGAAGGGGCTAAAGATTAATTCCACACAGGCCTGGCCTTATGAGGATAGGTTATCCTGTGGTAGTAGTATGTATTATCCTTGGGGTGTTTGCAACACAGGTTTTGATTCCGCGGGCTTTTCCAGTATGCATACTTGGTTTTACTTCATTAAATTAACATTCTAAAACAACTCTTTTTTAGATCTCGTTCGCAAGCTACGAACGATGGCGCAAACAGCTGATGACTTAAATATTGACGTCGGCAATGGTGTTACACCATAGCTGCTTTAGGGTGCCACCCTTTGAGCGTTCCCGAGATACTCCGAAGTACTCCGGCTACAGTTTGACCCGTTCAGTTTCAAGCGTTCGATTGCAAAACGCATAAAGTATGTCAGGTCACTGACAAGTGTGAGGTATTCTAGGAGCACCTGAAAGCGGCTCATATGACCGCGATTACCATAAACTACGCCGATAAGCAATCCTAATAGTTTTCATTATCCTTAACTAGTACTCTGATGAATGGCGAATGTAATTTTTGACGTATAAATGTAAAATAATGCGTACCGAGACTTGTCAAGCGCCAGTTGTTTGAGGGCAAGGATAATACACACCACTACTACAGGATAGCCTATCCTCATAAGGCCTGTGTGGAACATATCTGGAGCCCCCACCTCACCAAATCACCAGAGTCCTTATTCTTGAAAAAGGGGAGCGGCATTCCCGGGAGAACGAGTATTCCGTTTTTGTTACTTATATTAGCATTTGCATATCATTGAGAAAGACAGAACACTCATTCTCCTGGGAACGTTGCTCCCCTGTTTCAAGAATAAAGACCCTGCTGTAACGTAGGCAGCATGTCCTTTCTCGCCTTGAAGTAGGCTGTTTGCACTACAGGTTATGATTCCGCGGGCTTTTGCTTTATGCATACTTGGTTTTATTACATTAATGGCCGTTTGCACCGACCATTTTAAGGAAGCCTTAGCGATAAGTATTCCTCAAAGTGACATTCCTCCATGTAAAAATGTCATTTTAAGGGATACTTATCGCTAAGGCCTCCTTAAAACGGTCGGTGTAATCGGCCATAATTAACATTCTTAAAACAACTTTTTTTAAGATCTCGTTTTTATCTTCCTCTTTGCCTATTGTGTTTATCAAAATTAAATAATATTTTTCATCATTTTAAATTCTAAACCACCAGCTCTAGTGCAAACAGTCGACTTGTTAATGACGTGAGAAATGGTGACACGCCAATATGGCGGCGATAACCAAAAGCGAGGCCGATAAGCAATATTAAGGGCGGGTATTATAAAACTACTTTGAAAGTTAACTTAAAGATAACTTCTGGAATTACATGTAATTCAAAAAGTTAACTGTCACAGCAGTTTTATAATACCCGCCCTTAGTAGTGTGTATTAGGGCGCTTTCTTTTATTCAGCAATGGATACTGCTGCCAGTATTATGAGACTGCCATTCCGATTTTCTATGAACTAGACAAAGATAGGTAGGTCATTGATAGATCCATCGCTGAATAAAAGAAAGCACCCTTATTCTTGGTTTAAGGGCGGGTATTTTAAAACTATTTTGACAAATAACTAGATAACTTCTGGAATGACTGGGTGTGACGTCATTCCAAAAGTTAACTTTCAGTTATTAGTCAAAACAGTTTTATAATACCCGCCCTAAACGTAAGAAGTTTTATTGAATCTTGAATCATCTTCGTTTTCGATTTTTTTTTTTATTTACCACGAAAATTGGCGCAAATATTGGATTATTGATTATATTAGGTCTGTTTCTGCAGGAATCACAAACCAGTTAGAGCCATTGGTTGAGTTGAAAACAGTCGGAAAACTAGTTTCAACCAATGAAATTCACTCTGAGTGGTTTGTGATTTCTGCAGGAACAGAGAGTAGTAAAACACAATCTTTAGTTCTGGCTCCAAATGTTTAGTTCACTGTTCACTCTACAATGAACATTCGATAAAGAAGTGCTCCGACTCCACTCGTTGTTGGATAGTTGAACACTAGCGATATTCCTTATAGTATAGTATTCACGAACTGATGGATGGCACAGCTCAAATTATATATTTTGGGGACATCTCAGTTCCACATGTTCAACTATTTTCTTCCGAATCGATTCTGAATTACCTAGTTCTACCGGTTTCAGGGATCGAACCAGAACCATAAGCTTTAGAGCGTTTTCCGAGTTTTTGATTCCTGTTCTGAAATCTTTCGTAGATTAAAATCCTGAACCGGTTCAATAAGGAATGTTTCGGGGATTGCGTTCGCGAACGGTCTATTGGAAAGTGAAAAAAGAAACAATTACGTCAAACTGTCAAACGTCATACGAATCGCTTAAAAACACCCATCACCATTTACCCAAGGAAAACCAAAATTATTCTTTCCTTGGATGTAAAAAATTATCCTCGTTTGTTTATTTTAAGAAACTACATTAGATAAATCGCGGAATACTTTCGCTAATACGTTAATCGTAACGTAGGGCTCGGTTTTCAGGAGGGCACCGGTACAGTTTTCCTCGTGTTCCTGTTTTTAAGTTGTCAAAATCTCTCTGTAAAAATGGCGGATCCGGGTTTCAACAAGAGTCGTTTGCAAAATTTCAAGAACAAAGGCAAAGATCAAGATGTAAGTTGATATTCGTTGAGAGAAATCCGGTGCAATTGCATTGGATAATCGCATTATGTGTTGCTTGTGCGCTATCTTTGCGTACTACCCTTTGGTAGTTGGATTTTAAAAAAAATTGCTTATCGCCAAATAGTTTTTTTTATAGGCTGCTAATTAACTAATAATACGTCGCTATTATAGAAATGTTTATTTATTTATGTGCTATTTCTAGTCAATTAAGGTTTCACTGCATTTGAGAATGATTGATTAACTTGGAACAAAAAATAACATTCTATAGAGGTCTTACATAAACATCTTTGATTCTTTGATAAATGCAGGTTGTGTTAAGGAAACTTTTCAAGCCCTTGATAAAAAAATGTTTAACTCCAAATCATTCCATAAATTATTGGTTGTTGCCCTTGTTTAAATTCACTTTTCAAGAAGGTCAACCTGCATCTGCCTTGAATTAAGTTAAAACAATGATGTAGGAGTGTAATGAAAGGACGTTTCATTGGGATGTTTTTAACAAAGTTTGTTTTATGGCTGGTTTATACAACATTTGCATAGTCGTAATCATAATCATAGTCTTAAGGTGGGTTCTAACAGACATTTAATTTAATTTAGCATTTAATATAATTTAATTTAAAAAGTTTACCATACAATACCATATGACGGCATTCATACAAAATTTTAATTTAAGACATAATATAACTTAATTTAAAAGTTGGCCAACTTTTATCTTTCAAAATTAAATTAAATCTGAGGTTGATCATTGATTTTCATCAGTTTGACAAGGCAGATGACAGATAATGACATTTTTCTATATCAGTTAAAAAATTACTGTATGAACGCCACAAAGTAAAATTATATTAAATCTTAAATTATGTTAATATAAAATTAAATTAAATTTCGGTTAGAACCCAGCTTTAGTCTTAGTCTTAATCATAATCACAATGTTAGAAGGCGTTTATACAATGTCATAAGCATAAAATAAAGGCCGTGGCTAAAGTAACAGAGGTGTTACTATAATTATTTTTTTAAAGTAACATCAGTTCAATGATGTCACTGATGATAACGTTACTTTTAATAGGAGTTATAGTAACAGAGGTGTTATTCTAATTATTTTCTTGAAATAACGTCAATATAGCAATATGTACTTAGATAGGTACTTTCTTTAGCAATTTAAAGTGAAGGTGATATTCTTGGTTCTTGGCATTCATTTGTTTTAGAGTGAAAATGGAAATATATAAAAAATAACCTGACTTGAAGCATAGAATAGAATACTTATGAAACAGGAAGGCAGGAAAGACACATTTTCCTATGACCCTATCAGAAAGTGACAATTTTTTATCTTCTTTTCAGGGAGGAAAATAGTAATTTCCCCTCCCTAGGGAGGAAAGTAAATTATTTTCCTTCCTAGGCAGAAGTTTTTCGCTGTAGATCATAGTTTTAGCTCCAAAGGAATAAATTACCTATTTTTTTTTTCTTACCTTCATTTGCTGAAAAAAAATTCCTTGAAGTTGATGACCATTATTTTATACCTCTATTGATTAAAAATGGAAAACTGATTTTCACTTTGCATTGCACACTAATAAAAAAAATTAAAACGATAGGTATCGTATATCTCCTCATGTGTAATGGAGGAGCCGCCACTGGTATTAGGTATAGATTATTAATACCTATTATCTTGTCGTAAGAAAAATCATATACTTAAGTAGGTATATTCCCTTGGAGTAGTGAAGTTCCGTTTCTCCCTTTGGTAATTAATCGAATTTCACCTGCAGGAGAGAACTATACCTACATTCCCCTCTCTTTGGTTTATAAATAACTATTGGCTAAGGGCATGTGAGGAATAGGAATATGGAGACGCCTTTTTTCTCTCAAAAGATTTATATTATCAATATGTTGATTCAAAGTTTTGGTTCATAAAAAATAAAAGATTATTGTTATGTTGTTGAATATCACCTTTACTTTAAATTGCTAAAGAAAGTACCTATATATCTACATATTGCTATATTGACGTTACTTCAAGAAAATAAAGTAATATCTCTGTTACTACTATAACCCCTATTAAAAGTAACGTTGTCATCAGTGACGTCAATGAACTGATGTTACTTTAAAAAAATAATTATAGTAACACCTCTGTTACTTTAGCCAGGGCCTATTGTTTGTTGTAAAACATAACCTCATACATAGAAATATCACAATATTTAAACAAATAAACGAAAAACGAGCAAAGAAAATCAGACAAAAATAAAATAGAAATAAATTCTCCTAATCTGGTGCTAAACTAAATACTTAGTAAAGTAAATACCTACTTTTGAAGGGCAAAAAGAAAACAAATAAATAAAATGAGCTGAATAAGGATAGCATAAGAGATTTTTTTAGAGGTTTTTGAAAATTTCTATTGGTTTTTTTGGGTTTTTGCAAGAGTTGTGCTCCTGTAGGGTTTTTGTGTTCTAAGATCTTTGACATTCCAAGTAAAAATCTCTAACTCAGAACTCAACAAAAACCCACCGGGTTTTTGAAATAGGTTTTTCCTACGAGCACAATGTTTTAATTCAAAATATAGGTACTACTTATTTTTTACTTCAAATCAAATTACTATCTATAGATACTATTTTCCATTGAGAAAATTTAGATCTTACACAGATTTTTTGATCAATTTTTGATAAATTAGATGAACAAAAATACTTGTGGAAAAACATTACACCTAACTTCTGCGGAAAATGTCTTTTCCACCCTTGACAGCTTGCCAACTGCCGTCGCGTAGGGAAAAGCACCACTTTCCGCACTTGTTAGGTAAATATCTATTCGTTTATGCCAACCCTGAAAGCGCGTTACAAATTCACAACAAGATGGCGAATAATGCTTGAAAAGGATTGTCGCCTGAATGTGATTTCATTCAGGAAGCATTTTTGAAAATTACCGGTAAAGAAATTTGTCGGGTTAAATTACCAAAATTACCTTACCAAAATTACCGTTACCGCGGTAACGTTACCACACTTTAATCTCTACAAGTGATAGGTCTGTCCTATTTATTTTTGAATTTTGCTAATAAACAACTTCAACAAACGCAAACCATAAACAAAGAAGGTGGAAAGTGAGTCCCATCAATAAAAAAAGGCATTTTGCCACATTATTCAAAGACATGTAGAAGCTTGATGGAGACCCTTTTTTTTAAATACTCTAGAATGACTCAAGATCAATTTAAATACAAACAGAACTAAAATAGCAGATTTGAATTGTTTTTCTCTGTAACAGCTGATAATGGCGCTTGCGCAGTTTGGATCTCGTCTTAGTCACAATCATAAAAGTTAAAAGTTGCCAACTTTGAGTTATGCTTATGCTTATGATTATGATTACGACTATGCAAATGTTGTATAAACCAGCCATTACTGATAAAAAAAGAGTGTTTGAATGGCAATAAATAACAAAGAAAGTTTGCTGAAAAAATGTGAAATGCTCTACCCATAGTTTATACGAAGTCAATTTGAACACCTAAAAACAAGAGTCACATTCCGAGTCAGCTCAATCTACCTATATATTCCAACAAAAATAACCAAATCGTAAAATAAATAGTCCCCGTATGAATATTATCTTGCCTAAAATCTTGAGTGAACCCCAAATCAATTTAAATGTTTTTTATACACATTCCTAGATGGCCACTTCCAGTCGGTCAAATAATATTTGGCGCACGCAAAAATAAATTATTGCCACTATGTCTGATGCATTGTAGGTGACTGTAGACTGGCGCCCTTGCATTGTGAGATAAATTATTAATCATTCTCGGGAATTTCACTGATATTTGCAAAAATATCTTTTCATTCCTAGCATGTGGCACACCTATGCTTCATTTCATAAAGAAGATGCTGCCTAAACAGTTTTTATGCTGTTCGGATTGACTTTGTATAAACTATACCCTAGGGGCAACCACTATGCTTACAAATGTACAATGATTTCCATATTTGGCAATCGCTGATCAATGAATCTCATGTATTCTCAAGAATTACGACTGATTGCCAATAATTTTCAGATATTTTTGTATGATTATCAAGTGATTTCTATTTTTTCTGGGAATTTATATATCATTCCCAAATGATTACCTGATTTCTTACAATCATCCAATTTCCAGCTGATTTTATTACACTGCATAATATGTATCTAAAATAATGGATTTTTCTTTGATTTCACTAGGATTTTCATCTGAATCAAAGACATCTTCAGTTAGGGTTTCACTCAACAAACTTATTTCTGATTCAGATGTAGTGTTGTAACAAGTGAACTTCACCGAGCGAACTTTCGCACTATTACCGTAATTTATGGTCATGTTCGCTCCTCTCCAAGCGAAAGTTCGCTGAAAATGCATTTCTAAACGTTACCTAAATAGTTTGATTTGACTTCTGAATATTTTTATTATTATTTTTTTATTCTATAACTACTTTTGTTATTACCATTACCTACTAAAAGTTCGTTTTTTAATAGCGTTCTCCATTTGTCGAACCAGTGCAAAAAAAATGTATCCACATCCTTACATGTTACATACTATATATATACAGGGTGTATATTTTAAGTGATACCACTATTGCTATATCCGAAACGGTAAGAGCTACAAGGTCGGTTAAATTAGAAAAAAGTTGCCTTTTTCGATGCCCATTTAAGTCTCGTTTACAGTATTGTCAAATTCTTTTTGGTTTATGAAATACAGGGTGATTTCTAAGAAACGCCCAAAACTATTTCATCAATTTCCTGCAGAATCAAACAAAACAATTGAAAGTTTTTTAATTTTTCTCGCTTTATAACATGGTGTCATCAAATTTCAAATCCGATGTTTCGTATTCGAGCTACCATCATCAACTTCATTTTTTTAAATACGGACCTGGATTTTTTATGTCATTTTTAGAAAGTGCCTTTTATTACCTTTGTAAAAATGATATAAAAAGACCAGGTCCGTATTAAAAAAAATGAAGTTGATGATGGAAGCTCGATCACGAAACGTCGGGTTTAAAATTTGAAGATGC